CACTTTTTTAAAAACAACAAATCTGCTGGGGTCTCTCCCCTGTTAGAAATCCCTGAAGGCACTTATGTCCAAGCTGCATAGGACAGTCTATGAGGCCTTCTGATAATCGGTTCTTGCCCATCTTTCTCGTCACGTCTCCCCTGCTTCTGCCTCCAGCCCCCATCATGTTTCTTACATTCCAGCAAACTAGACTACTGGGGTCTCTGAATACATCATGTCTTGCACATGTTCTTTCTGTCCAAAATGCCTTTACCAACTTCTTCATCTATGAGAACTTATTCATCTTTCAAACTCAATTAGGGTGTCAGTCCCCACAGTGAATCAGTCCTTTCACTTCCCACCCAAAAAGGAAAATTAATCATCATTCTTTCTCTCGCCTCTTTTCTGTTTATTTATGCTTATAACAACACACTGTAAATTTTTTTATTTGTATGCTATTTCCCTCGTTGGGTTCCTTAAGTAGAAAGACTATAGTTTCTTCATGACTGTATCTCCAACAGCTAGCTGGAAACAAAGTAGTGACTCAAAAAAACAAAAAAATCTGTTGGACTAAAACTGATGGATGCAATATACATGGCAAAAAAGGAACTGATTTCCTTAATGTTGAAATTAAAACCTATAATTTCCTTATTACATAAAAATGAGCAGTGGATATAAGTAGTTCACAAGTAAATAGAAATGTCTTTTAAGCATATGAAAAGATGCTTCAATTCACTCATAATTAAACACATTTTTGAATGAGATGGCATTTTTAACCTATCAGACTAGCAAGGACCCAAAGCTGGAGGATATACAGTGTTGCTGAGACTAAGAAAAGAGCTACCCTCAAATACTGTTGATGAATGAGTAAACTAACAGAACTCTGTTAGTAAGCTCGTTAGTAACCTCATTGGTAAATTGAGAATGTCCATCAAAACTGGAAATGTATATACTCTTTCATCCAGCTAGAGGAAGCATTTATAGGAATTTGTTCTATAGCTCTATCGGTATATGCACAAAGAATTTCTTCAAGGATACTTGCTGTTGCAGTTTGTAGTATGAAATGACGTAACCTATATGTTGAAAAGTAGAAGACGTATAAATTGTGACACTTATACTATTACATCTATACAATAGGAAAAAAGAATGAAATCCACACATACTAAGATAAGTAATACATTAAGTTATTTTAAGTGTAACCTTAAGATATTTTAAGTAAAAAAGCCAGATAAAAACAGTATAGTGTAATCCAATTTTCGAAACAAACAAAACAACAACAAAAAAATAGGAGAGAGGAGATACACATATTAAATATAGTTGTACTAACACTAATATTTCCAGAAGAAAACAGGAGAAACTGAGTCGTTTTGTCTGGGGAAGGAGATTTGCAGCTCAGGGGCTCTGCTTATACCTTGCGGTATTTTAATTTTTAACCACTTTCATGCATTACCTTTCAATTTAAAATGCTCAATGATAAAGAGTATGCCAGCAAACTAAAGTGCTGGGAAACTTCAACAGTCTGTCATCTAGTATTTTACCTTCCCCCAAGGAAAAGAATGTATATTATACCTAAAAGAATATATATTACACCTAAATATCCCTTAGATGCACATATCCTATTTTCATTTTAAATACTGATGCACGTGCTAGGGTATATTTTTTTCTAGCTACTAAAGTGGTAATTTTGTTGTTGTCGGCAGTTGTTATAAGCATGGACTTCGGTAATCTAGCTCCTGCTCCTCAGACCTATCATACCTGCTCAAGTGAGAGCTGTCTCCAGGAGAGAGAACCATGAATACCAAGGCTATTTCACTGATGAGACACATTTCCTAAAATTTCTCTTTCTCTGTCTGCAAGAAACCATCAGGCTGACAGAATTTTCTCTTTATATAATACAAGCAAGTCTTCTGATCAGTTCTCTCCACTAGTGCAAAGCCTCCCTGAGCCTTTCTAATAAATTTAGTTACCACCTGGGGTAAGGGAGCCCCATTAACACTCTTTTGTTTACACTCTGCTAATTATCTGCCAAGTAAATACTACTTGAAAGGGACATTTTAAATATGCCTTTAATGTTCTAATATGTGTTTCCGAAATACTCAATAATTAGTTTCTTCATCTTCTCAAGTATCAAAAATTAATCTGTCTTATTTACATAACCATACTTCTCCCTTTGTAGGAAGAGGCATGACTTTTGCCAGTTTATAATCTTCAGGCACTTCTATGCAATAACAACAGTGGATGGAATAGTGCATTTACTAGTCAGAGACCTCTGAGACAGTGGCTTCCTTAAAGTTCTGTTTTGTATATATCTAAAAACTGAAGATAAAAACATCCCAGGGAGAGAGAAAATGATAAGAATAAAAGTCTACTGGGGATCCCAACTGAGGTGATAATGGCAGCACCTAATCCCAGTCCTAAATGAAAAGATATAAAAGTTAAATTGTCATACTTGGCATTGTTTCCTAATTGCAAGTCCAGTAAAAGATATGGTAGTGTAGAAAGCTGAAATTGCAATAGTCAAATTCTCTTCACAGAGTAAGGTTTTATTCAGGACTGTGCCATACTTTAAAGGCTCTTGAATGTGGCTTTTCTCAGTTCCTATAAACCCACTGTTCAAAAGCAAGGCCCACTATGTTGATCAGCAATCTTCATATAAGAATTTGTTGTTACTATCGTCTGAATTCAGCACCAGGAGCATATTTCTACCATTACTATAAAGGCCTGTATCTTTTTCACAGATAATAAGGATAGTGGAATACATTGTTTTGTGAATTCCCTTATGCCTACCAAGAAGTTAAGCACTGTATTTGATGTCTGCATTAAATATGATATGATAAAGCATGATGTGCCCATTCCTCAACTTTGCCTTATCCTTGTATTTTATTTTATTTGATTATTATGAAAATATGCCTTCAGAGTAAACAGCAACATGACTACCTCCAGCCCCTTTTGAACTAGGTAAGGTAAAAAATATAAACAACTGTTTAGATGTGTTTAATTATATTATTTTTCCCAATTTCCCATAAGAGCATGATACAGTCCTGCCCACTTTCCTTGACTTGCAGTGCTTCCTGTGGCAGAAGCATACTTCTCCCTCCCCTTGCCAAGCCTGACTTGCTTTGGCCATGACATGTCAGAGGAAGTCAAGGGTGACACATGGAAGCAGAAGCTTCAGGAGTCATAACAGAGTTTGCTCTTGCTCTTCTTCCCATGTTCCAGATTGGTTGGTACTATTCTTTCAACCTACATCTTAGAATGAAGAGACACACGGAGCAGAGCTACATATAATCAGGAGACAATGCGTATCACGAGTGAAAAATAAAACTTTGTGGTTGAAAGTCATTGATGCACCAAGAGCTGCTTGTTACTTCAACATAATCTAACAAAAGCTGACTACATCTCAAGTGATGTGTTCAGACACTGAAAAGTGCTGAGTCTAGAAGGCTAAGGGGGATGACAATTATTCTGAAATGTCTGAATTTCTATCAGCGAGGACAAGATAAAGGAACTGAGCTCATGAAGCCTGAAAAATGGATTGTGGGGTGGTTGGTATGAGAAAAGGAAGGACAGGACAACTACCACCACATATCTGAAAAGTGATCACATGGAAGAATAGAAGAAATAGAAGATAAAAGAAATAGAACAGAATAAATAGAAATAGAAAAAAAAATTTTTTTTAAGCATGAACTTATTCTTCTTGCTTCTAAGGGCAGAACTCTTAGACCAAAAGGACAGACCAAAAGCTAGAAACACAGAGAGACAGGTTTTGGTTTACCTGGGGGAAGAGACTTCTACTAATGAGATCAGTCTAATGATAGAATGAGTAGCCTTGCAAACCACTAAGTTTCCAATGACTGGGAATCACGAAACAGAAGCTAGACAGCCACCACATATTAGAGACATTACAGAAAGACAACCGACTTCATGGGAACTTACACCAATGACCTCTCAGCACTCTTCCAATTCTGATTCTACAAATTCTAGAGAGTTATTTCTGACACTATGTTCAGTCAGTTCTCTTGGAAGAAGAAGAAAAGCTTAGTTTCCTGGCAATAATTAGTCACAGAATAGCTTTTTAGAATCTATCCTTTTTTCTGAGCATCATGAAAATGTATACCTTTCTTTTCTTCTCAGTTCAGTAACATTTTTTGCTCTTTCTAGAGAAACCGTGACTCCTAAAAAGCATTCTATACATTTTATCCTATTCATTAATTACATTTAATAATTATCTTAAAGAACATGGACTATTTCAACAGAGCTAAGGCAATAGGTAAATACCATCTCCATAGATGGAGATTTTTATAGAAAATCACTAAAATTCCTGATTGGAATAATGAAGGTTGATATGAGAAGACATCTCCATAACTTATTTGTCAAATAGATAGACTTATTAGTGAGATAGAAAGGCTAAAAACATACAAGATGTTGAAATACTGACATTAAAAAAAAATCCACATCATCCTCAAACCTGAATATTTAAAATGTCATTTCTTCATATTGTTTCCCTTCTACAAAATCATCAATAAATGTCTTATCTGTAATAAGAACAACATTTCCCATAATCTGAACATTTAGCTTGTAAATCCCTTAAGTCTGAAAATGTCAGAAAGTCACTATTCACTCTGCCTGACAGAATACTGTAAAGATGTATGAAACAACAAAGTAGAAAAATATTGTATAAATGTGAAACTGGTACTATCTTATCTTACATGTACCTCTAACCTACCTAGAGAATTTTTCATCACATTTCAATTAACTGAAATATTTTAGAAAAATTGGAAGATACAAAGACTTAATAAACAGGTAACTTAAAAAGAGAAACTGGCATTACTATTAGTATTACAGTATTTGGAACATTTAAAATGAGAAGCATAGACATATGATAACCTTAAATCCCTTATTGCAGAGAGCACTGCAGTATACCAGACAACGAAAACCACAAGTAAAAGTCATTCAGTAACAAACTAATTTAACTGTTATAATGTTTCTTTTTCTTTGTTTTTAAATGTGTAGCTACTTACCAACAAGTCTTATTACATTCAACGTTGTATTTGTTAAGATAGGGGCATTCACTTTATTTAGACTGTAATCTGATTTCTTCCTGCTTTTTAGAGTTTCCCGAGAAACACTTTATATGAAAAAACAAAACAGAGTTGCTAGAGTTGTCAAGTAATAAACCAATAAGTTACTCAGATTAGTCCATAGCCTTTATTAACTAATTATTTAATGAAAATCGTACTATGCATTAGGTAAAGATATAGAGATTAACTTCTTATCCTTATAAAATTTACAATCCATAAGTAAGGGAAATAAGTAAGCAAAAAAATAAAGTACCATAATGCATTTCTTCGATTATAAAACATTATCAACCACTAAAAAAACTAATCACTTTAAAAAACAAATTTTCCAAGATAATTACATATCTAGGTGCAGATGTACTATGTTTCTTGATTTCAGAAACTTATAAACATGAAAAAATACCCTCCTAAGAATCTGAATTAAGTAGAGAATATTGGTGACAGTATTTGGGGTTAAGGGGCAGCATTAGGTTAGGTTCAAAAGAAAAGTAAAAGTTATATGGTCAGCACAGAAAAAAGGGCCAGCATAAAACAAGGTTAGAGATAAGAGAGAACAGAGTGTGCTCAGAAAAGTACAAGGAGTTCACCATATTCGCAAGTAGAAGAAATGAACAGAGGGGAAAGTAATAAGAAAGGAGGCAAGTAAAGGCCGGATATCCCTGAAAGCAATCAAACCTGAGGGATATGAACCTTATCTTGAATATAGTGGTGAGTCACTAAAAGCTAACCAGAAAAACAGCAAGATTAAATTTGTAACTATGAAAAAAAAAACCCTAAATTTAAATCTAAGAGTTGTTTGGAATGGGGCAAGCCTAGAGACAAGAATCCAAGGTAAAGGAGTTGATTTAATAATCTGGCACAGAGATAATTTTGGGATAAACTAGAATGGTAGTGGTGAAATGCCAGAAAAAGTGGTCAACTCAAGAGACACAAGTTAGAATTGATAATAACTCTTAATGTATTGGCTTCAGGCACTAATTCGTTCAATTCAAACTTCTTAGGGGTAACTTTAGGGGGCTGCAGTAACCCTACCAAAAATGGAGGTATACACATGGCAGACACTATCTTACTTGTATATTTCAATTCAAATAGACCTTTCCTTTTGGCCAAAATATGCCCAAAACATCTAATAAAGAATTCCAACAAAATAGTTCTATTTAGTTCACAGTAGATCATACTGACACTTAATATCATACATATGCAAAAACCAATAGAACAAATTTTTTCAATTAAAATAGCTACAATTTCGTGAACTGCTCACTTTTGAAAACAGTATTATTTCAGTCGGGATTTCAAGTTAAACAGTATTAAATAGGTAGCTTGGCGTTAAACGGTAAGAGTATACTTATCGTTACTACCATTAAGAAAAAAAAGTACATTTATAGTCACTAAACGTATGATAGTCATGAAATCAAGTCATTTCAACATTCCAGAATCAGGTCCATTTAACTGGCAAAAGGTAAGACAAAATTCTGTTATAATTATCATAGTTTTGAAGAGGTCAGTTTATCATAAAACAAAACTCAACCACTAATAGGACACCTTGGTAGAAAGTTCAAATAGTGAACAAAAATGACACAGGGGAAATAAGTGGTGATTTTCTGTGTTTACAAGATTGAAGCAAGAACTCCACATACAAAACAAATGATCATTTTCTCCTTGAGGTTTTTTATTTATCTATGTAAATCGCATAAATGGCCACCAAAGGCAGGATTGATTTTATAAATCTAAAGGCTTTTTCCTCTGCAAAAACTAATCTCTTTGATTATGCCCAATATTTTTGACAATAATTTTAACAGATTTTAAAAAATGACTAACTTCGTGATGCCATAAAAAAGGAATTAGAATCTTGCTACAAAAAGCAATGTCAAACACACTACGTAACTCAAAGGAAAGCTACATTAAAACTAGCCATTTAAGAACTTTTAAATGGCTAAATCAATTTCTTTTTTGACACATTAACAATCCAGTTCATAGTTAAATGAACTGATTTGTGAGATGCTGGCAAAGGTTTTGCTAGGCAGAACTTTTCATATAACTATTTTATTTTTCATGAAATCCAGTTATGAAATGTTAGGAGGAAAAACACATTTTTAGCCTTCCAGGAATCATTTAAAACATACTAACTTCTGTCAGGTGACATAATAAGTACCAAAAAAACATAATTTTTGTTTCTTCTTAACCTTAAAGGAAATCCTATATGTTAAGAGCACAAGATAAAATGCTAAATACCACACAATTTAAGAATAATCACCTTTTCACAGGAACATCTCCTGTCTGCTCATCCACATAGTCTCGTTTGAGTTCTTCAGGAACATCACTGTCACTGTCATACTCTTGATAGGCACTCTTTTCTTGTTCATCAGATTCATACTGAAGAAAACACAGGATATTAAAAAATGAGTATAAAGGGCCTCGTTTCGTGGGGTGTCTCAACACAGCGAAAGTACTCAATTTTACAAGAAACCGCTAAATACAAGAAAATCCGTAGTTTAGTTTTAATGTTGTCACCAAGAATCTGATTATTCTTCCATTGTCTTCATCATTCTACCTTAATCAGCACAAAAGAAAAATATTACACCTATAAAAGCTTGAAAATGTGCAACAAAATAAAATCACCATAAACGAAAACCTAACAAACATTCCACTAGGCCTAAAAAGAGAAGAAGAGTACACATAAGCACGTTTTTTTTTTTGGTTTTTTTTTTTTTTTTTTACTTAAAGTCTCTCAGAAGTTTCACCATACTTATTTCCAATTTGCTAATAAAATTCATTAAAAAGAGGTTCAATATCCAATTCTGGCACTCTGGAAGTATTACTTCAGCTTAATAAACATGCACAACACACATGCTGATGTTTTAATTCACTATAAGAGTTAATTTCAAGGGCAGCTTAGAAAATTAAGCTTAGAACACAGTGACCTGCTGAGAATGAGGACAAAAATGGTGGATTTACTCCTGAGAGGAAAGATGTCTTCCTAACATTTTCATCATCTTTATGGCACCATGGCCCAATGCCAGCATGGGAAAGGACAGTGGAATTCATGCACAGTAAAGAAAGCAGTGACAGCACTTTCATCATCATCATCTATTAATGTTATAGATTAATATGATTAAATAATGGCTAATATTAGTATGATTAAATAATAGCTAACATTGAGTTTTTAACCAAGTATTATGCTAAGTTCTTTCATGAATTATCTCATTTAATTGTACAGACACTTCTCTGAGGAAGTTTTATCTCCACATGACAGTTGAGAAAACCAGTATGATAACAACATGGAAATAATTTAGTCCCCTAATTCAACAACTATTTTTTGAGAGTCTGTTCATAAAAAGGTCGTATTTAGATGTGGACCCTGATTCTCAAGGACATAAGTTGCACCTGGGAAGATGAGATCACACATTAATAACTGCAAACAAGCCTTACAGGTACTCCTTTATACTTATACACAATGTGATCCTGATGCCATGCAGAAAGGTATTCTACACAAACTAGGATGTCCTGATTACAACAACAGAGTTTTGTGACCACATCGTATCACAGATACCCATTATTTGAGGATTCAATGTTTGCAAATTTGCCTGCTCACTGAAATTTATTTGTAACCCTAAAGTCAACACTTATGATATTTCTGGAGTCATTCATAAATGTGCAGAACAGTGAAAAGTTTGAGTCATCCAACATGCATGTACCCAGCTGAATACAAAGCATGCTCTGTCTTCTTGCTTAGGCTCTCATACTATAAACAAGTTTCCTTTTCATGACCTATTTAGTGCCAAGTGCTTTGTATTTTTGTGCTTTTTGTTGGTGATTTAACTGTTTAGAATGCCACCACAAGTGTAGCCCTGAAGTGCTGTCTAGTGTTTCTAAGCACAAGAAGGCTGTGATGTGCCTTAGAAATAAAATATGTGTGTCCGATAAGCTTCATTTAGGCAAGAGTTTATGGTGTTGTTGACTATGAATTCAGATTATGTACTGATGGGCTGATAAATATGTTGTAACCAGAGGCTTATAGGAACCTAATCCTATATTTGCTCTGGGAGTAATGGTTGAGTATTTGTTAAATCAATATTCACAGCAACTTTATAGAACACACTGCTGCAAATAATGGGAATCAAAGGTTATGTAAGTTTTAGTTAGTGAATCACTTTTATAGAGAGATATGTTATTCCAAAATAATTGGAATGACTTTAAATTCCTCTCAGTTTAGTCAATTTCACAGAGGCAAAATGTCACAAAGAATCACTGAATCATAATTTTAAATATGACTTACTATGAAACAATTTAAACTTCATGAATTTCATCTTCACCAAATGAAAAATAAATTCTAAAACTAACATAAAATATAAAGACAAATCCTTCAACATATTTTTGTCACATCTGAATGGTTTTCACTTTAGCTTCATCAATCAAAAATAAAAATTATATTGAGTCATTATGGAAATTATGAAGATCAGAAGAAACCATCAAACAACTTATTAAGTCAAGTAAAATACTGTGAAAATACCATGCAAGTAGCTGTGAAGCAAGCATTCCTCTCACTGTAAATATGGAGAAACTGAGGGTCACAAAGTTAAAATAATTTGCCAAGGGCCACACAGCTGATAAATAATAAAGATGATATTCATTATCTGCCTTCAAATCCTTTACATTAATTCACACTACATCTAGTTAATATTGTTTTTGAGGTCCTAAAAAGTGTTGTTAAAACATTGTACTTCTAAATCTCAAAAAAATATCCCTGCCAAGCAATTAAGCAAGACATTACCACTTTCTCTTAGACAAAGGGACATGGAACAAAAGCAATCTGTGACCCATAAAGGGTGTCGAGAAAAAGGGTCGATGATATCCATTCCCTCACTCATCTCACAATATATCACATCATATTCACATAATATATCACATAAATATTCAGTGAAGAAATTATACTACTATTTGATTAGCAACCTGATAAGAACATCATGTAATAAGAACATAAAGCAAACATAAAGGGAAAATTTACTATTCAAGAGGACAAGGTCAACAAAGCATATTGTAAAGTCATTATCTATAAATGTAATATCATAGATACATTAAGTATATAGGTGGGCAGGGTGGTAGTAAATGGATACATAAATGGGTAGTAAATGGATATCTTTTTTAATAATAATTCATAGCCAATGTAGTAAATTGCCTTGCTCATTGAGTAGAACAGTTTTAAACTAAAAAAAATCTCACTTATGTTTCACATACACCACATACCCCATTAGAAGCTAAGACATCTTCTGTTTCTTCATCTTTGTGGTTGGCCTGAATTTCAAATGGATTCCCACCACTACAGTACTGCTCAAACAAGGTCACTGTTTTTGAAGAAGTTGAGACTGGCTGCTTACTAGGTGAAACTGATGGGGAGCGAGACTGTTCCATGAATTTAAATTCCTAGATGTTAAAAAAGGAGCCAGATACCTTTTAGCAACAATAAAATTCTAACACATAAACTGAATCCCTCAATATAAATGTAGACTTAGCAGAAAAACAACATCTTGATCTTCAAGTTATTGACTTTTAAATCTTTCAAGTTATCTAAAAGTACACACTTAGAAATACATGTCTAAAGGCTTTCCTAAAGACAACTCAGCGAATGATATCACTTAAAACAGTATCATCTGCATCAAACTACTTTTGGCTTCCTTTAAGAAACTGCGGAGATCATTTTTTAAAATAGCTTAAGAAATCTGAATGATGTCTTCTAAAAATTTTAACAGAACAGCAAAAATCCTAATCAATAAAGTCATTTACGAAAACTAATTGTTAAAGTAAAACACTATGCTTTTTCATATGTTGGCACCACTTAAGATATTCTATACAAATACATCAGAAACAAAGTATGAAGTGTATATGTGTTACATTGATGCCTACAAACTTTCATTTACTTTTCTCTATATACCAAGAAACAGACAATACGAACATATATGCCAAAGTCATATGATGTGTCCTCTACTCCTAGCAAAGCTAAAGAGTTGTAAGACCTAGTCTAAATTATGCATTAATCACATGAGGAAACTGAGGCAGTTTGAAGGGATTCAGTGCAAAGTTCAACCTCACACAGCTAATTAGAGGAAAAGTGGGAATAATCTCTAAAGTTCCTTTGAATTACCAAAATCTTGATTTAATGATTTATCACAAAATTTAACAAACATTTTTCTTTTCACTAAATGGAATAATCCCAATATTTAAATCCCAAATATAAATTTCAATGGTATTCTTGAAAGGTATTCTTAAAATTCTTGAAAGGTACATTGACTTGTTGTATTAAATGATATATGTGTTTATTTTCCTTTTACATTTCAACTATACATTTAATCATATACATTAATAATGCCTAAGAATCATGCCATTATTTTTATAATTCTAAACAAGGAGTGAATATACATCAACGAGACTAATTTTTAGAAAATCCAATCCACAGGAATGCATGTCAGGTGAACACTAAGTTGTGAATAGTTTTCAAGGTAACTACTTTAAAGGAGATAATGTTCACCTAGATGGGAATGCTTCAACATGCCTTTTTTAAAAAACATGTCTTACAATTATACTAAGTGTGACAATGTCGCAACACACACACACAATCTGATGGTTAAAAAGGAGTTCAAATAAAATTATTTAATAGATATTCTAAAATGAATGTTAAACTTAGAATTCTAAATAATGTTAAGGAATTACCTTAAATCTTTGAGAACTCGTAAATCCTATGTTAATTTAATGTTAATTGTTATGTTAATACTAATTAACATTAACATCAATTTTGCTGTCTTTAAAGCATTTAATAATCACTATGTTTCAGTGTTTTTAATATTTCTATAATAGGAAAACAATATAAAAAAACTGGATAAGAAGCTATTGTACAATATGAGCATAAAGACAATCAATCCCTATCAAAAAAAACTTCTAATTATGTATTCTGTACATTTATCCAGAGTAAGAAAGTTGCTTTCTAGAAAGCTATTCCTTCCAAAGGCAAAAACTAAAGACCCCGTACTTTCTGAACAAGAATCTAACTATATGCACTGCATTTTGACACTTGGTATTTGCAGAACACAATCTTTCACACAGGAATATTTATCTACAATGTGTTTCAACCAAGGGAAAAATCAAACTAATTAAAGACTTTTTCGCAGATTGCTTATTCTGTAAGTATTTGAGGAACTGATTAACTAATACAAATTAGTTAAGAGTATTTTTTATAAGTGCCTCTTTTATATCTGAGGCATTTTTTCATTACAGGCAAATTTAAGAATTGCAGCACAAATTAGGAACTTACTAGTCCCTTTAAGGAATAAAAAAATTCTATAAATATAATTATTTGTATTATATTTGTATATGTATTAAACTATGCCAAAATATAGCTAATTAATTATTTGCAAAATTTAAATACAGCAGTCAGCCCTTTTTGGAATTCAAAACAAACAAAAAATACCACTTTAACTGTAACTCTTTTTAGGCAAAAGAGATTTCCTGAAGTATGTAAACTGAATTTTATAAAAGAAGACTGATTTTTCACAACCATAAAAGGGTCATTCCTGTAAAACTAATGACTTTCAAGGAAGGAAGATAAGAAACTGCTCCTTAATTTATTTTATAAATGTTTCCATATATTTGCAGACTTTTTTTTCAAAGAAAAAGGGTAAAAAAGATGACTAAACGACAGATTTCTTTGTTCTTAAGAAACACTTACATGAAGTTGCAAGATGCTGAAATTTGACTTAACAGGACAAAGTTCCCAAGTCTCATTCTCTAAGAACATTCTCAGTTCATCGAGCCGTGTTCTTAAAAAAAGAAAATGAACACTCCAAAAAGTGAGAAAAGTGCACTGCACACAAGAATTGAGGAAATAATGTACAATACAAATAATTATAGGATTAATGTCATGATCATAATCAACTTTGAGAACCCATTGGGATTAATACAGTAGACAGAAATGTTTACTTTTGTTAGTTAGTATCTTATCATCCTTGACAGAAAAACTCTCTCAAATGTTACTAAACTAAATATTTTTACTATATTGCAAAAGTAATGCATAGGAAATGACAGTTTTATTAGGGGACTAAATTAAAAGCTTGTCTCTAACTCACATAAATATCCTTAGCTGATACATATATCGATGCTAAAACATAAAGAAAAATCTATAGATTATATGAGATCATAAATACTAACACGTTACGTTAAACAGCACAGATCTGAATCATACCTAGTAAAGCTACAATAGCAAGATAATTATCACTTTCTGAAAACATTTAGCTCAGTGCCTGTCTCTACAAAGCATTTACAAATTATGTGAGCAGGTAAGACACATATATATTTGACATTCCACTAATCACTTATGCCATACTGATCTCTTCTTTCTTTAATGCTATTGTTCTTACTGTCTATCCTGAGTAATCAGCACATGATATAGGCAGTCCCAGAAAAACAAACCTTATTTTCAGTTGACAAAAGGGCCAGTGCCTGCCCTGTTCTTCCCCTTTCTACCACAAGTTGTTAGTACCACGCTAAAAATGAAATCTAGATTTTTTTAAATCCACAGGTTCAAAATAAAGAGACAATAAATACATGAATCTGTAAAAATCAGGAATTGCTCCAAATACTAGAGTTAACAGACAAGGACTTTAAGATAATTATTATAAGTTAAACAAAGTAGAAAAAATGTATAAAGTGCATAGAAAAGAGAATTTCAAATAACTGCAATAAGAAAAACAAACAATAAAAGAATCAAATAGACATTCAAGAACTGAAAAATACACTTCCAATTAAAAACTGATTGGATAAGTAAAACAGCAGTCTAGGGGTGGCTGAAGATGGCATTCATGAACTCAAAGATCAATAGAAAATATCTAAACTGAAGCAAAAATTCGAGGAAAAAAAAGGAAGAAACAAAAGATCATAAGAGATATGTGAGATAGTCAAAACATTTATTATGCAGGCAATTGGATGGAAAGGACAGAGAATAAGCAAAAGCAATATTTGAAGACATAATGGCCAAGAATTCCCAAAAGTGATTGTGCTCATAGCTCATACCACATACAAAAATTACCTCAAGTGGATCACAGTCCTAAGGTAAGAACTAAATGTACAAAACTTGACAACTCAACAATAAAAAACAAGTAACCCAATTCAAAATGGACGAAAGCTTTGAACAAACATTTCTGTAAAGAAGATATACAAAAGGCCAATGAGCACCTTAAAAGCTGCTAAACATCATTAGTTATCAGGGAAATGCAAACCCAAAACATAATAAGATACCACTTCATGCCTACTAGGACAGCCATAATCAGAGACAGAAAACAACAGGTGGTGACAAGGTTTTGGAGAAATTGGAACCCTCATACAGTATTAGTAGGAACGTAAAATGTATCATGACTTTGGAAAAAAGTGTGATTCAGTTCCTCAAAATGTTAAACAGAGAGAGTTACCACAGGACCCAGTAGTTCTACTCTGTATTAGTTTCCTGTGGCTGCTGTAACAAATTACCACAAACTAGGTGACTTAAACAAGCAGAAATTTATTCTCTCACAGTTCTAGAGGCCAGAGCCTGAAAATCAGTATCAGTGGGTTGAAATCAAGGTGTTAGCAGAGCTCCACTCTCTGGAGGCCCTAGGGGATAATCTGCTTCCTGTCTCTTCCAGACAGGTTTGTGGTATTTATTACACAGTAATTTAAAACTAATACAGTGATAAAAGGTACAACCCAGATTGAAGAAGCGTAGTCAACCCTAGGCATAAAAAATGTATACAAAATAATATATGAAGTAAAAGTATATGACAAAACACCAAAAAGGTAAGAGAAGGTAAACGCAGTTACAAAGTTGGTTCCTACATTATTCTGGAAGTATACCACCTAAGGTAGACTACAGTAGAACATAAGTGCATATTGAAATGTTGGCGGTAACCATTACAAGAATGTATTTTTTTTTTTTTCCGAGACAGTCTCACTCTGTCGCCCAGGCTGGAGTGCAGTAGCGTGATCTTGGCTCACTGCAACCTCTGCCGCACAGATTCACACGATTCTCCTGCCTCGGCCTCCAGAGTAGCTGGGATTACAGGCACCTGCCACCATGCCCAGCTAATTTTTTTGTATTTCTAGTACAGACCGAGTTTCACCATCTTGGCCAGGCTGGTCTTGAACTCTTGACCTCGTGATCCATTTGCCTTGGCCTCCCAAAGTGCTGGGATTACAGGCGTGAGCCACTGCGCCTGGCCCCTAATGTTGTTTTAAAATCTTGTCTGACAACTGTTATGTTTTCATATAACCGTTTTTCCATTTACATTTAATGTATTTATTGACATACTTATTAATAGGTTTAAACCTATCATATTTCTGTTTGATATCTAAAAATGTTAAATATTTTAAAGAAATTTTCTCTTTCTGAATTTTTTGGATCAATCATATATATTTTTACTTCTTATATTATATATATTTTTCTCAGTTAGTAAAACAACATCAACAACAACAAAACGAGACCAAACTTGATAAGCTGTTAACAAAGGGCACACTTTAAATATGAGAACATAATTAGAAGGAAAGTTAAAATTACATAAAAACACAATTTCTCAAAATCATGAACTGGGGTAGAATTTTTATCAAAATTATTTTCTCCGTCTATTAAAATAACAACTATGATATTTTCCTGTATTCTGTCAATTGGTAAATTAAATTTCTTAATTTATTTAACGTTTAGCCAACTCACGCTCTCCTATAATAAATCCTACCTGTTCACAGCATATTAACCTTTTTAGGTATCACTGAATTAAATTTGCCAATATTTTGTTTAGGATGTTGCATCTATGTTCTTATGAGATACTAGTCTGTCATTTTCCTTTTTTAATGTCCTCTTGTTATGCTTTGGTATCAATGCTATGCTGGCCTCATAAAATAAGTTATAAAACATTCCCTCTTTCTCTATTTTATGAAACAGTTGTGTTGGTATTGTTTTCTCCTTTCAGGTTTGGTAGAATTTACCAGTGACATCAGCAGGCCTGGAGATCTCTTTATGGAAATGTTTTGAAGCCCAGATATAATTTCTTCAAAAGACATCGGACTATTCATATTTTCTATATTTTGTTTTGTGAGCTCATTAAGTTTGGCTTTATAAGGAATTTGTTTATTTCATCTACTTTGTTGTATTTTCTTCTAAAAAGATAGGTGACTTCTCTCTTCTAACACCAGTCAATGCAATTTTAGGATCCTTGAAAACATTTTATAAGCTTTGATTACTAGAGTAATTACAAAATAAAATGTACTTATTAAATAGAATATTTTGACAACTATACATTGCTCTATAATTTTTATGTCATTAAAGTTTAAATTAGAATATTTATGCTTTTAGAAATTCTCCAACATCTGACAGAATAGTGTTCTTTGGGTGTACATAAACTTAGTATCTGAATATTTTAAAAAATGGGGGGAAATGAAACTTATACTTTTGAGAAGTAGAAACAATAATAGGGGCTGTGTTCCCTCATATGTTCATACAGTTTTATCCTAGAAAAAGATAGTGGAATGCAAACTTTTATACGACTACCACAACTAACATTAATACATTTCATAAGTAGATGCTCCACCAAAAAGAAACTGCTCCTATTTTTATCTTTTTATTATCCCTGTAACTTCAAACCAATAGCTTAAATGGACTCAAAGTCAGAATAATTTGGTTCAAGAATTTCTTCATCCTCAAGAGCTCTATTTGGCAGCAGAGGACCATGAAACAAACTGTATGCACATTTAAACACTTCTATTAGCAAAGTAAGAACACACTTCATCTATATTTCACCATGTTCCATATAGTTTTTCAGTATTTATTTAGTATGATTGGCAAAGGGAATATTAAATTGGGATTTTGCAGATTTAGATTTATTACTGGCTAATGTAATGACTTTAGTCAATTCAATGTATGGACACTAGCATCATTTCTAAAGTTTGTGTCAAGTTTACCTTGTTTTGTAAAGAAATAAATGTACCTTAGGACACACTGATGGTTTGCACCAACTTTACGAAATGACTTCCACCGTAATTTTCCCGATGCAACTGTCAGAGCAAAAATGACTACAGACAGGACAGAAACTAGACTACCTTAAACTTCTGTTTAAATACTAGGGAAAAAGAAGAATACTAAGTAATAATTAAATCTTTGCTGTTTAACCTGCCCCAATTTTTACAATATACAATACTGCAAGAAAACGGGTCAAGATGTCTAGGCAACACTTATGGAGACCTTTTAATCTGGCCACTTCATTTTACAATTCATAGAATCACAGGCCAGAGAGGTTAAGTGATTTGCCAATATCAGACAGTTGGTAAGCAGCAAAAAATGGGACAATAACCCAAGTCTACCATTACTCAACCCAGCTTTACTTCTAATAATATAGCACAGCCACTTCAATGAGAAATAAGTTTCACAAATGTTTCTAAGAGAAGTTCTTTAAAATGTTGAGTGTTTGGGGAAGATTTAAGTGATTCGTTTCTGTATTCTCTAATTTCATTAATGTGAACTCTGTGAGGAATTTCCATTATGGTCAAAATGCCCCTAGCTAGTTGCTACAGATGACAGACACCTTTTGATAATAAGTAAAACAGAATGCAGAATGGAAGCCACTAAATAAATCAGTGGTTTTATATTGTACACACATCCTAGACACTGGGAACACCAAAAGTGATCCCAGTTGTCATGCTGGATATGAAGCAATCTCTGGGAAGAGAGACATTTGGTGTGCCTTCATACTGCAAGGAAAGTGAGGCTTCTGGCTCCTTTGTGTTTCCATTTTATTTCCCTATCCATGATTAACAGGCCCCTCCCCCTTCTATACAGGAATGTTAATAGGGCCAGCCTTTTCATTTAGTCAGGGCTTAAGTTTTAGCAGACAAGGAAGTTATAAATAAACGCAGTGTTAGGGTTTCCTGTTGGTCCCTTCCCACCGTTTCCCTGAGGTTTATTCAATTAAGTTTCTAAAAAATTTTTAAACACTCTCAGTTGTGAAACTCAAGGGCTTTGCTTTGGTATAGTTCAACTTAAATCTTTTTCAAACAATTTACTTGTTTACAATTAACACAGACAACTTGTATTCAAATATATTTAATAATAATCAACGGTTTGGTGTTCAGTCATCTCTCTTTTGACACGGCATATATCACTGTGAGCAGGTACTGACTATGAACAAGGAGCAAAAGCAGAATTTCAAATCATGACTCTCTCTGGCACCAAATAAGGAAATCAAAACTTAAATTCAATTGTAAAAAGTAAAAGTTCAGAATAAAAAGTAACATGAAACTCAACTCAAAGGACAAAATACATGTAAGGGATACAACTTGGGGTCTAGCTTATATGAAGAAAAATCTAATGTTAGCTCTCCCTTCCTTCAATTTACTGCTGCTGTAAGCATATAATCACACCGCTATTATGAACATTCTTTCCCACCTTCCTCCTCTACCCAAATCATTCCTAGTCACTCTTTTAAATATTAGCAGTGATTGTTTTGCAAAGCAATGAAGTATACAAATTTGGCTTTATAGCGAAATTCTGAATATCACATCCTCTCCTGTAGAAGCCTTCTTACTTCTAAAAGATAGATACTCTCAAGCACCCCCTCACTGAGCACTGATTTAACTTCCTTATAAGCACACGCATATGTATGCAGGTAGTGGAACAGCAGCCAAATTCTTTCTGTGAACCTTGATCTAATAATCATGTTTTACTCATAAAGAAATCAGTTCAATATTTTAAGCCCCTCAAGACAAAGAATATTTTAAAATGTACAATGAATATGTAATGAGAACATTTCATCATATTTTGGTTAAAAAAATCCTTAGCCATCTTAAAAAAGCTACAACACATTCAAATTCAAAAGTAATCGTTTAAAATCAATTAATGCTATAAGATTAAGTATTAGACAAAAGAATTCTCATTACCTAAATAAGTCCATTCATATTTTATTAGAGTTCTTACCTATGGTAATTTTTGAAATAATTGACACTTTGTTTTCTAATAGATTCCTGTAAAACTTCAGACTTGCTACCACAAAATTCTTCTCCAACTTGCATCAACCTAGTTGGATAAAAAGGTTTCAGTAAATTTCAGCAACATCCTTATAGAGAAAAAGAAGTGCGGGTTCTCTTTCTTCAAAGACTAAAAAAAATCGCTAAAATTTGGATATGTGAAAAAATTCTAAAGACCACAAATTCAAAAAGGTTTACAAACATCCAAAGGGCAGAAATATTTAAATACACTCACAAACTTAGCAGCAAAAATTATCTTCATTTCCATAAAGAAGTTATAGATGAGAGCTCACTAGGTTCATGATTTCTTTGATTATCATGGTTGAATGACTCAAACTAAAGAATAAGACAAGATCTTAAACACTACCTGCTGATTATGTCCAAAACAAAGATGAAATCATCATATTTGAATATAGACAAATCGGTTCCAAGCAAGTAGGTTTTTACTTTTAGCTGAACATCCTGTAAGATAAAGAAAAAAAAAAAATCAAGCAAACCCAAAATACAGAAAATAAGTTATCAGAACCATTTACTCTATAGTTCCAGATTAAAATGAGACAGGAATATATTCCTAATTTGTTAATGAGTATCTATTTAGGCTAATAGCCAACATCCTTAAGGGAGATATAATAGAGACAATCCCATTTCCTATATCAGGAATGCCATCAGGTTGCCAAACTGAATAGAAACTAGCTACATAAAGTGCCAAGTCAGTATTTCCAAGTACATTGAATTACCAGAAATTCTATCATAGATTGTAAAATTTTAACTAAGTACAATTAAGGCCTACTGGGAGACTAAGTCAGAAACAAATCATATCTGACCCTGGGTGTATATTCAATAACTATAAGATTTTCCTTTCTTTTTATGCATTAATATTCAGAAAAAAGTCAGCCTAAATCCACAATGATACATTATTTATTTAATTTTAATAAATGTTTAATATGGTTATATGAGTTTAATACAGTCAAATGAGAAAATATATGTCAAACCTCTTACAACCACTACATAAATAAATTTCAAATACTAAAGTATAAAATCAAATAGCATATCCAATACAAAAGTATCAAAAATAGAAGAGCACTAAATTATAAATACTGATTCATGAAGAAATTTACGTTCTCAAAATAAGTTTTCCTAAACAATTTTTTTCAAAACACATCCTATAAAAGATAGTCAAGCTGGGCATTGTGGCTCACGCCTATAATCCCAACACTTTGGGAGGCCAAGGCGGGAATATCACTTGGGCCCAGGAGTTCAAGACCAGTCTGGGCAACATAACAAGACCCCATGTCCACAAATAATAATTTAAGAAAATTAGGCATGGTGGTACATGTCTGTGGTCCCAGCTACTCAGGAGGCTGAGGCAGAAAGATCACCTGAGCCCAAGAGGTCGAGGCTGCACTAGGCCATGATTCTGCCACCACACTCCAGCCTGGGTGACAACATGAGACCTTGCCTCAAAAAATAGTAAATAAATAAATATAAAGAAAAAAAAAAAAGATGGTCAAAATAAAGATCAGCCTCATTAGAAAAATCAAAAATACATTTTAAAAGACCATAACACGGCTAAAGGGTCTATAGTCTTCCAGGGTTCAAAGAAGTCCAAAAAGAGTAAGTTATCTTCAAAGAAATTACACTGTGATCTAAGAAGTAACAAATTATCTGATTATAACAACTGAGCTACTAAATTGCAAAGAAAAACTTAATAAGATACTGCTACGGACTGAATGTTTGTGTCTACCCAAAATTCCTATACTGAAATTCTAACCTCCAAGGTGATAATATATTAGAAAGTGGGGACTTTGTGAGGTGATTAAATCAAGAAGGTAGAGTCGTCATTAATGGCATTAGTTCCCCTATAGAAGGGACCCCAGAGGGCTCCCTCATCCCTTCCACTATTTGAGGATACAGCAAGACAATGTCTATGAACCAGGAAGCAGGCCCTTCCAACAACGCTGGCACCCGGTTCTCTGACTTCCAGCCTTTAGAATTCTGAGAAATAAACTTCTGTGTTTATAAACTAACCAGTCTAGAATATTTTGTTATAGGAGCCCAAATGGGCTAAAACCAGATATATTCAGCCAATTAGCATGTAAGATTCCCTCAAGGCACAAAGATCACTGACTGAGAAAAAAAAAACAAATTGTTCATTCTGAGCTATAATCTGACCTAAGTATGCTACCTACTTAGTTACTCCTTTTCTAAAATTAACAGAAAAAAAAAATTAAGAAAACACAGATAAATGAAATAAAAATAAACAGAACATCTCACTGAGAAAACATACATTTCTTTATGATAGTGGAAATTCTCTGGGCCTCTAAAACAAAAAATGTACTCAAGGCATATATGAATATTTCCAATGGAGATTTTCAAATTAAGTCTTTTTTCTTCCTGCCACTCATAGTGCAAATACAATCACCAAATACATTACAGAAATTAAATGATAGCCTAATTCCAAACAGAAACATATGATTAAATCTGCAAAGAATACACATATAGAAAACTTAAAACTGAATTTCTAAAACAACTTTGACATGACAATTATATTGCTTCTGTGAAAAAAATAATATTAAAAAAACCAAACCTGCCATATTCGTGTAAGTCCATGTTCTAATTTCTTTTTTATGTAGCCACGATCAAAATTAGTTTCTTCAGTACCTATCATATTATTCCCTTCTGAAAACAAAAGACATAAATATTTTTAGATTTAATCCAATTTGTGTTTGTTTTCCAAATATTTTCTATTTGGCCTCTCATACATTATAAGTCTATGTAAGATACAGAAAATATGTTTGATATTTATACAATCAAAACAATGACAAACAACAGGTATTAGAAGTAAACCCATTTGGTAAGATAAATAAACTTAGACTATGAAATGCTAACTATACCTAAGACCACTGAGATCATATGTGACTGAGGCTGGGAATCTACCTGAGTCAGTGTGGGCCCAAAGACCAGGTTCTTAATACTGCCTACTGCAAGACCATGTAAAAGGCTGTGAGAAGGGCATTACAGGACTAATTAACCAAATTATCAATTAGCATGCATGCTAAGAGGGCAGTCTACATTAACAGCTCAGGCAGTGAGGTGATAATGCATATATTTTATATTTTTCATGACGAATAATAGTTTTATCCACTCCAGATAATTTAACAATGTCTAGTTTAATAGGTAAGATCAGTGATCTGCCATCAATCTCCCCCTAAAGACAACTGAAAAATACACATACACATTCATATTAAAAAGATGAAGCTTTTGTGTGAATATCCTGTGTAGAACACCTAAGCAAGTATGTCATCATCTTGTCTCAGGTTGGCAAGGTGTCCACTGATAACTAGTAAAAGGTCCTTGGAAATGCCAGGCCTCAGATACATAGATACATGACTAGTTTGCCTCTGAGTACTCCTAAAACATAAGCCTTATTATTACACGCATGGTATGGCTGTTAGGGATCCAGCAGCCTAAAGCAGTGCACCTGAACTAGAGCTTTAGAGCTTTATCTTAGAACATTAAAGTATTAGGTTATCAAACAATATCAAATATTATCATTAAAGAGATACAGCAGATAAAGTCTAGAGTCCTCTTCAGTTTTATGAAGTTCCATGAAGAGTAATTTTCAATTTACTAATTTCTACAATTTTAGTCCTGAATATAATATGATTAATTTCAGGTGAACAAATAACTTTTTACAGTCCTAGATACTACCAGCTGACTACTTGAGCACTTGATATCCATAAAACATACATATTAGGGTGAAGAAATTTTAGCAAAGAGGGTTGAGTAATAAGGATCAAATAGAGTTTTAAGTTTGACTCAGTACTCCAATGAATGTAAACTATTGGCCTAAAGTGAAAAGCAAGCTTTACCATGATGAATAAATAGATAACAGTCACCTAAATTCTGATATCTAAAATATGTGTTAATTCTATTCCAAACTTTTTCTTTGGTTTCTCCTTGAATAATGTACTAGAAAAGCAAATATGTCTTAACAGTCTCCAGGTATTTCACTATTATTATATTATCTCTTGATCCATTTCCTTTCATCATATTAACCACCACCAATGTAAGTACCTTACATGCTGTCCAAACTCTACAACGACCCTGTAGGGTACATGTGTTACTACTCTTTAAGTGTTTGGTTTGGTTTTGCTTTGCTTTTTAACTGATCACTTTTAGGAGCAAACTGAAGAGTGGAAAAAATAAGCAGTGTCTTCAAGTTCTCACCTTTGGTAAACGTAAGTGAAAACTTGAAGCCAGACCTCACAGATTGCAGAGCCCATGGTCCCAGAGGTAGTACAGGGTAAGAGTACAAGTTTTGGGTAAAAATAGTCTGACCTGGAATCCTGGCTGTGTGTCCATCCTTCTCTCTGCCTTCTCCTCTTTCTCTCCCTTCCTTTACTCTCCCCAATAATACTTCTAAATTGATAAAAATCCATTCATATAATTTTCCTCTTATTTTGTTTTCTATATTTACAAGCTTCTTGTAAGTCAAGACAAAGATTAAACTAATGCCTTGTAAACTACCAAAACGTTTAATCAAACAGTGAGATTTGGGTGTGTTGTCCACTCACCCAACAACAGAAAATAAGCACCTAAGAAACTGGAAGTTACTAAAGTAATTTGATTGAATAGCTACAATAAATTGTATGTAATACAAAAAAAAAAAAAGATGTGCAGTATAATTTATTTTGTCCGTATTAAACAAAACGCTGATAAAATCATTTACTGTTTTTATAAGTATTCTGAATATTTAATCTCAGCTACTGTTCAAGGATAATCACTTAAGATAAATAATTATACAAATGAAGCAATTTAAATAGAATGATTAATAAATACAATAATTTTTCAAAGACTTGTTCTTTATTATTTAGCTGACTATACCATAGTCATTTAAAGTTATATTTTCCATTCAAAGATTAATATTTTAAGACATCATTTTTAAAATGAAATTCTAGCTTTGTTTTCAGGAAGGAAAGTATCAATATAATTATTGATTCTTAGAACCTAGCTTTATTACTGCAACTTGAAAATGGACCAAATAGATTAATATTGACCATCTAGCATTAATTTCACAGTAAATTTAGACAGACCAATGTCTTATCTAGTTTGCAACTAATAATATTAACAACAACAAAAATTTATAAATTCAGTCCTAAAGCCATCAGCACACACTTCTGTAAACTGGTACTATGTGCCACTTAAAAAGTCCTTTGACCCAGTTACTCTCTAAAGGTAATAGAACATTTGAAGTAGCTGAATCACTTTATTTGCTCAATATTTAGCCTATGGTCACTGTAATCCTCGAAATCCCAAAGGTATTCCTGCCCCTTTCCTTTCTTCTTACTCCAGTAATGTGGGATATTTATAGTTCAATTTTAAAAATAAAATAAAAATATTTTCCTACCAGAAGCTGAAGCAGTATCCTCGTTGTCATGCTTTTCATGCCATTCCATAGTCCTATAATAGCTGAGCATAACTTCCCACAGTGCTTTGCATAGGTCTGCAAGGCATGGAATATAGCTGTCTGGTGTAACATGCTAAAGAAAACGAGAAGAGACAACTTTCAATTTATTATGTTTACTCTAACACAGTTATAATAAAATATGTTATTAATCAAATACATTCAAAAATTAGAAATAACTAAGAAAATGTCTTCAACTGACTTATCTAAAGAAAAAACTCAATGGTGAGAAAAAAATATTTTAAATACTTCCCATCTCAACATGGCTTTTTTGTACACATTAAGAATATCAGCCCATAAGCTGTGAATCAATCTGTAGTTATAGAACCATAAAGAAATTACTGAAATAGCACTTGGTCCCATAAATAGCAGTGTAAACATCCCCAAATGCATTTTTTGAAAGACATGATCCTAAACACGCAAATACAGCTTTACATAGCCTGGACCTCAGTCACAACTTGCAAAAAGGAAGTTGGATTTACAACTCTATCATTTCATTTGTGTAAATTAAGTAAATATCTTTGACAATCTCTAAGATTTTTAAATCATATGGAATAGATACTCTATGTCTGACAATAACATTTTAAAATAACTTCTAACATAAACAAGGTTATGAAACAATATATGAACTCAAATCCTCTCCCTAATGGAAGTACATGAATTTTGTTTCCCTTTGTAAAAACAACCAACTTGCCATTCTGCCCTTTTATTTTATTTTATTTTGTAGGCTTCCCATTTGTCATAATGCAGCAATTGCTCCATCATTTGAGATTTTCTAGCATTTCTTTAGTTTGTGATCAATTGACTACAACTTATGCTGATGAAATATTGAAAGATGAAGACTCTGGTGTAAGTAAACCCCCCAAGATAAACAGCTAGTAGAAATAGGCTATGGCAAGTATTGCCATGGTATGGTTGATGCTCATGATGTCACAGTTAGTAGTGGTCCTTGCTCTTTCAAAGGGCTTTTTCTTCCCGTAATGATCTCTCCCTCTAAACTCATTCACCAAAACATTGTTTTGGCAAGTAATAAAAATACTAACTTACATGATTTACTACACTTCCACGTTAAGTATATCAAATCTTTGAAACTAAACTAGGAAGTACTAAAATAAAGAAGTTAAGCTCTGGAAACAGACTGTGGGGTTTATGCCAAGAATGCTAGAATGGCTTAATCTTACAAAATCTATTAATATAATTTGCTCTATTAATAGGTCTCAGGAGAAAAATCAAGTGATTATCTCAATAGATGCTGATTTTAAAAAAATTTCTCACAGTGGGCTTTAAGAAAATTCAAAACCCACTCCTAACAAAAACACATGAGGAAATAAGAATGAATAAGTATTTCCTTAATATGAGAAAACTCTAAGGCACAACCACTGTGGTCTCACACACACACACACAAATGATGCCCATTATCTCCATTACTATTTAACTGTTTACACTGCTATTTATGAGAACACTTGCTAATTCAATAATTTCTTTGTTTGATTCACAGCAGATGGGCTGGTATTTAACAACGATTCAGAAGTACAAGCCAATGTAATCAGATTACAGAAAACAGAGGCAAAAGAATAGGACAAGAAAAAATAAAACTACATCTGCTAATGACATAAAAATATGCCTGGAAATTCCTAGTGAACCAATAATAAAACTAATTCAAACCATAAAAGAATTCAGCAAGGAAGCAAGTTATAAAATGTACATGCCCAAACCAATGGCATTTGTATACAAATAAACATTTAGAAGAGATACTGAATGAGAAACCCTCATTTATAATAACAAAAGAGAGAATTTTTAGGAATTTAATAAGAAATGATTGAAAACCAAGAAGAAAACCATGAAACACCCCCAAGAGACATAAAAACAGACTTGAACAAATGGAAAGAAATCCCTTATTCTTGGTTAGGATGTCTCAACATCATCAAGATGTCAATTCTTCCCGAGTAAATTTATAAATTTACTGAGATACCAATAAAAAAGTACAGAAAAAGATCTGGTCTTATATAAAAATCTGGTATATGATAAAGATGGCATCTCACATCACTTAGATGAAGATAGTCTTTTCTTCACAAATTGTGTTGGGAAAACTTTATAGTTAGCTGGAAAAAAATAAAATTAGACATATTCCTCAAGAATACGTAAGAATAAACTCCAAATGCATAAGATATTTAAATGTCAAAAATAAAACTATACTAGAAGAAAACATGAATCAATGTCTCTCTAACAGTGATATAGAAAAAGACTTTCTAATTACAACACAAAATTGACAAGCAATAAAAGTAACATTTGATTTTACTATATAAAAAATAAACAATTTATATAGCAAAAAAAAACACCACATGTGAGGTCAAAAGACAAATGACAAATCTGTAAAATATTCACAATATATATTCACAATAAAGAGCTGATATTTCACATTTATATAGAATTATTAAAAGTTTGGGGAAAAAAAAAGACTAAAACTCCTATCAAAAAAAATGAGAAAAAATGCACATGAACATACTTCATAAACAGAGATATAAAAATGGCCCTTCAACACAGAAAAGCATGTTCAACTTTACTTGTAATAGGACAAATATAAATTAAAACTACAATAAGATGCAAATTCTCACCAATCTCAATCTTAAAGCTGAGCACTGACATTCTCTCCTTAACCAAACTCTAGTGAGGCTCCTCTCAGCTATCTTCTCAACCATGGCCTAAAAAAACTTGGACGAAACACCTAACAGAGTCTCTAATGACTCAAGTCACACCCCTAGGATGACTTCAGCACCCCCTTAAAGTGCCAGCCTGAAAAAAACTCAACGTTGCCAATGTACTTGGAAAAAAAAAAATGTACTGTTTGTTCCAACATCTGAAGATAGGGCCCCTGTTCCCCAGTCTCTGTGAGAGGGTAGGAGCCTAACTTCCATAAACATCAGTTAGCAAATACAAATGGGTTTCACATGGACTAACTCCCTTCTCACTTTTTGTAAATGTTCACTTTTCTGACTCCACTAAGCCCTGCTCAACCCCTTCCCTCATTTTCCCTTTAAAAAATGCCCAGTCACCATTGTATAAATCAAAGTTGAGTCAGTTCACACTGGACTATTTTCCCTATAACAATAATATCTTCTGATTAAAATCTGTCCTCAACACTTTAACTAGTACCTGGCTTTATCTTTGACATCATATACGCTCTGTTGGCAAGGCTGTGATGAAACAGGCACTCGCATACATTACTGATGCAAAAGAGTACAATCCCAAGGAGGGAAATTTGTCACGATCTACATGTGTATTTTTTCTTCAACCCAGCAATTCTACTTTTGGGAATTTATACTGAAGATATACCTCAAACAATGTGAAAATACATATGCACCATGTTATTTATTAAAGGATTATTTGTAATTGCAAAACACTGAAATATATTTAAATGTCCAAAGACAGGAGATTGGTATAACATTATTCATACATACAAAAGAGTACTTTGCAGCTGTGAAAAACAATTTTGGGTAATTTCTCACATTTACTTTTATAATCGCTACCCTTACAATGAGCCAGTCTTAATGTTTTCCCTTGATGATATGGTTTGGCTGTGACTGTCCCCACTCAAATCTCACCTTGCATTGTAATAATCCCCATGTGTCAAGGGTGGGGCGGTTTCCCCCATACTGTTCTCGTAATAGTGAATAAGTCTCATGAGATCTGATGGTTTTATAAGTGAGAGTTCCCCTGCACAAGCCCTCTTGCCAGCACCAGGTAAGATAAGACTTTGCTCCTCGTTTGCCTTCCGCCATGATTATAACGCCTCCCCCGCCATGTGGAACTGTGAGTCAATTAAACCTCTTTCATTTATAAATGACCCAGTCTTGGGTGTGCCTTTATTAGCAGCGTGAGAACAGACTAATACACTTGGTTTAGTTTTAGCACATAATTATACCTGACATACCTCTTATACCATACACATATGACGAAAGCCAATACTAATGCACAGGATCAGGAAAAGACTAAAAACCGTTTCCGAGAACAAGGCAAAACAAAAGTCCCAAAAAGTTCTGGGCTGCAACTCAGCAATCATACACCCAAATAAAGGTACTCCTGTACAAGTCAGTATTTCTAACTTTTATTAGCCCAACTTTGCATAAATTTATATATCACGCAAACAAATTTAATCTAAGTATAGCCCAACATTCTTTCTGGTAGATAAGAGAAAGGCAGTGTTAGTCATATTTTTTCCCAAAGAAAAATTATGACTGTACAAATAATTGTGTTATAGTCCTATAATTAATTTCTATTATACTTGTCACAGTTTAACAAACCAGAAAATTAAAACTTAGACCTACTATCTTCTATTCTCCACCCAACCACTGTCCAGCTCATTATCTGCCTATTTATTTGAAAAAAAGGAGGTCCTTCATTATGTTATCTCTTGAAGATTTGCTGAAATTTAATGGGTTTGGATGAGATATATGCACACAGATGTTTATGTGAATCTTTTTTTCAAAAAAAGTTAAAGTTACATAGTGAAGCTATAGCAAGGCTTTCTTCTCACTGAACTGATTCAAGTGTAAATAATCCAGAGATCTAACTAAACCACTGCACGTACCTAAACGTCTCCCAAAAGAACCCAAATTTATTATCTTCAAATATATTCACGTGTACAAACATAAGACTATGATATATGCAGCACCAGCAAACAAGATGATTCTTGCCTGTTTATATTCTAAAATAGGAACAAATGTAAGGACCATTTTATTAAATACATATACAATAAACAGTTTAAGGAAAAAAGGTAAGTGGGGTAGATTAAAAAAAAAAAACAAACAAAAAACAATGTTTTCAATAAATTTAAGCCCAGCTATGTTAATCTCTGATGGTTATACTGGCAATAAGTTAAAAGGGTTATTTCATTTTAAAATTGAGCCCCTTTCCATTATGCCATGCAACCAACTGGTGTCAATTCTCACAGTGACAACCAACTGGTGTTAATTCTCACAGTGACAAATTCTTCTCATCCTTTTAACATCATATAACTAAAATCATTTGCAACTAGCATTTTCTTTTTTTTTTTTTTTTTTTAAGATATGCAGCAAGTTTAATACCTGAAAGTTAACAGAAATGACAACAGGACACAGATGCAATGCTACAGTAAAATGTGGTTGGGGGTGGAAGGGGGCAGAGGGACACTGGATATCATCACAGCAACCAGTAAGTGAGTCCTCTGGTGCCCTGAGGAGGTGGTGAGACACTTGGCTTGTGTCACAAAGAATGGAATAAACTAACAACTCTGAAAGACAAGCAGGTGGCAGCATTGCTGAGATGAGACTTGGGGCAGGGGTCTGGAGCTCTGTCACAGAGTGTAAATGCTCAAGGATGCCTGGGCTCAAGAGTGTTCTGGCCAGCATTTTAAATCCGAAGAAGGGCTTCTTCAGGACACACTTCCTTCTCTTAACATGAGGTGAAGAAATCCATCCCATTCTGAGTAACTGGGCCCCATAATACCTTGGTCTTTTCATACACAGCAGCACTACACACCACTGCGCCCCCCGCAGCCAGCTTCACTGTGTCTGCTAAGTACCCACTCTGCAAATGGATCTCAGAGTGAACAAATCCAGAGGAAGTGGGAGGAGCCACCATGGTGGGATGTGAGGGACAGGAGTTGGCTGGAGGAGCAGATGGGTCCCATGTCAGGTCCCTCTTCGGCATCGTGAAGATTGCTATCACTCAGAAGCATCTTTTCCCCAGGTTTGAAGCCTGCCATCCCAAGGTAGGGGCAGCTGGCACAGTGGAAGTCATCGTCCAGGTAGCAGTTTCAACAAGCCGACTTGGGCTGGGAGCTTATCTGTTCCCTTGCCTTCTCTTTTTCCAGTTCTTCAGCAAGGCCCCAGGTGCAGTTCTTGCAGGCCTTCCTCTTTTTCCCTTCTCCACAAGAAGCAGCCCACAGGGAAGCCAGATCTGGCTTCTTCAAATCTTTTGGATCCAGCAGCTCATCTGAGTCAATGAGATCCATGCTGTCGTCTTCCATATCGTTGGCTGAGAGGGTCCACAGCTTGGCAGCAGCAGGGTCCACAGCAGGCTTCACTGAAGGAGAAGACTTCTTGGTGATGGAAAGCTTAAGCTGACTAGAAGAACCCATTTCAAAGTTTAGTTTTTTGCCAGTGATCTGAACAAACAGCAGGCGGTCACTTTCATGACCAAGATATTCTCAAACAGACAGTACTTCCTCAGGGGTTAGGGGCTCCCACTGCAGCTCTTTCACTTCCATAAGACCAGAAAGAGTCAGGGCTGAACATAGCTTAGATGCTGTCTTCACTTTGCTATTGTTATCTACAGCTGTCTCTACTGGCTCTTTCAGAAAAAGACATTCACCAGGCCGAAGGATCCGGGCGATTTCAGTCAAAATCTCAGCACTGTGCAGAGTGGTGCTTCCCAGGACTAAACCCGACAAAATAATGTCAAAGCTGGATTCTTTGTGGGCAGACTGCAACAGCTGGTTGATGTTTTCCACAGACCTGCGGCCCTCATTGCCAGTTAACACTTGAAGCTTATCCACCAGACCTTTCAGAGCCTCCACTGGGGATGACTTATCCCAGACCACTGCCACAAACTGGCCAGCAGAGATCCCAAAATCTGCCATTCTTGCAGTGCATTACTGACGGACCTAAAAACTGCTGGCCAAAAGAGAATCAAGACTGCCACTCAGTATTTTCTACTTTATAAAAATCACCTCCAAATTTCAAATAGAGAATTTTATTGCAAAGACATAAATGAATCATAACCAAAGAGATTCAATGAAGCCAGAGAATAAGCAAATAATTACACAAGTAATCAAAAAATAAAAGGCAGGCTAAGAAGAGGAACCTAAGTGTTTCACCCAAACATCAATTCTTCACATCTGCAGGGCATAATGGAAAGAGACCTAAATTAAGAATTGGAATCCCTGGATTCCAGCTGGCACTAGTTCCACAACTTACCAGTCACATGCCTTAGATAATAAACTACTCCGGTTCTCAGTTTCGCCTTTCATAAACGTGTTAGAGATACCTGTATCTTCCTGTTTCATCACTGGTTGAAGTCATTCATTGATTACTAAATACCTACACTGAAACTCAGTTCAGGCTAAGGGGAGACTCATCTGGCATAATACTAAGAATACCATAGCAGAGGAGCACCATACTATAACCCAGTTCTATGTTCACATCACATATGGAAAATAGCAATGAAAGTCTTGATTGAATCAATTTACAAAATATTCACATAGTAAGACACCCCAAGAGCTAAATAACACATCTTGAAATTTTTTTAAGAATAGATAAGAAATCGCAATTTAATTATCAAATATTTCTCTGCGTTCTAAAGCTATTTTCCACTGCTACACTACAACTGAAAGCTAGTAGCATCAATTTATTTAGCAAAGATTATAAAGTGAAGGGAAAAGATAAAATAGGCATATAATCTTTGGAAAATATCCCAAGAAATACACAGAAAAAAAAAAGGAAATTTTAAGCATCCTAATTTTAAAAAAAATCCATAAACTCTATAACAGAGACAACATACATGTCTAATACATGTGGTGATCATAAAAGGTAAACAAATATCCTAGGAGGAAGGATTTGGAGAATATGAACAAACTGGATGTTCTATGCAAGAAGCTCACAGCATTTCCACTATGCTTCACATTCAAACACCACAGTTCACTCCTTAATCCAATTTTGATTAACACTTTCACAAAATCCACAAATCTGATTTCCCATCTCTTATCACTGTCAGTTCACAGTAACACTTGGCACTTTCCATTTCTACTATTAACCATCTCAACCAACCCACCTGGTTAAAATAAAAATGATGAAACCAGCTTATCAAAACCAGCAACATCTGAGTCTTGATTATAAAATATAAGTTGAGGCCATTTTCAAAGAACAGTATAAATCCAGAAATTAATATAAGCAGCCTTTATAAGTTTGAAGCACACAATAAGAGAATGTTGTCTTCTGAAAGTTATTTAAATGCAAAGTAAAGCAGTAAATACAGGGGGAAAAGCTGCTAGTCTTTTGCTTTTTATTCTATAATTTACTTTAATACTCATAAGAAATCTCTATAACTAAATCCCTACAAAAATTTCAAAGTAATGCTTTTTATATTAGAGCGTCAAAATGAAAAATCTTACGGATGGTTGTAATGAATTATTTTGTTCTTGTTCCACGTTTTGATTTAGCACTCTAATCACATCCTAACAAACATAAAGGGAACAGATGTTTTGGCATCCTCACAGAGATCCAAAATTCCCAGTGCTTCCAGCCCCCAAAACACACACACAGTGATAGATTGATTTCAAAAAACAACAAAGAGTTATCAGTATCTTTAGATGAATGCTGTTGGCACTATAAGCTCACATCATCAGAAGCTGCTGGGGAGAATCCTGCTTATCTGAGTGGTTTCTGAAAATATGCTGCTGGTCAAAACAGCACTAGGCCCAGGGAGTTGAAAACAGCTCGCGGTAACTCTGGACCTACAGAAGCGTCTGGGCCAGTATCTAAAATTTAATTACTCCAATATCTAATTACTTCTGTGAGGGCCTACCTATATGAAATATGATTATCTTAAGAAGTTTCCAACCATTGGAAACCAGAGAGGTAGTACTGCATAGTGGAAAGAGCACTGAACTAGATGAAACATTTTTGGGCTTGGAGCCCAACTTCGCAACTTACTTGATCATGACTCCTGCATAGCAATTCCTGTATCTAAACTCCAAATATTAAAGCAAATCTCCTGGAGTCCCTCTGAAGCTTTAAAAGCTATGAGTCTCCATAGACAAAACTATGCATATGCTTTTAGCAAAACTTTCCTTGTAACTCACTGGTTTCATTCATTATTTAAAAACAACTATAAACGTGGAGAAAAACACTCATTCTCATCTACCAGGCATTTTATCATTAATGCTAAATATGTATATACACATAAGACATGTAATATGTATGATATAAATAATCCCAACTTGGAATTAAGTAACTAGCACTCGTTAAATTGCGAAATAAAAAGTTCTTCTTTAGTTGGCAGGTTATTCTAATTGCTGTTAAATGGCCTTAATCAAATAGATAGCTCAATATTATAAAACAAGCAAAGCATGTATAATCAGAATATATAATTATCTTTCAAAGTTTCAAGTGATAAGATGCTATAAACCCCCATGCTGCCTGAGATCACACAAAAAAGGTAGTATTTAAATATAAAGACACTATCAAATAATCAGGTGTTTGGCAGGTTTCAAAAATAGTTTCCTGTTGGGCAAGGTGGCCCAAAAATGGTTTCCTACTAGTATATTATTTTTCCTTTCTGCTGGAAGCTGTGTGCCACCATAGGTTGGCTCTTTTTTACTTCCAATCCAATCCCCCTCCCGGAAAAAATCACCCAGCAGTCTAAACTACACTGATAATGTTAAGGGTTCTTAGACATGAACAATATAGAGGCCTTGCCAGACCTGGGCCAGTTTCAAATGAAGAGAACACCCCTCCACTTCCAGCCAAGAGAGTAACACTGGTTACCCAGACAAATGGTTACCCAAAGCATGTGCTCCATAGGCACTTATATTCCCTGGGTGCATTAGAAACAAACAAACCACCATACTGAAAAATCCGGTTAAACCAAGCCAGATAATCTACTGTTCCTTTCACCCACCCTGTGCTTTCCTACTCTCATGGCATTGCTCATGATATTTCCTTTCCACTCCTGGACACACACTGTTCCCGTTGTGCCTGTTGAAATCTAAGACCCAATTTTTTCCTCCCTTGCCAACCTTAAAGAGGTATTTTGACCCCTTGGATACTTTATGCCATTTGACCTTTTCTTACTCTACCTCTGATCATAATTAATGTGACCTTAACTAGATGATTACTTTAAAGTCTTATGTGTCCTTGCTGATCTGAACTGATGACTAAGTAAGAAAACTGATGACTATGTAAGAAAAGCTCAGTAGGCCGGGCACGGTGGCTCACACCTATAATCCCAGCACTTTGGGAGGCCAAGGTGGGCGGATCACCTGAGGTCCGAAGTTCGAGACCAGCCTGACCAACATGGTGAAACCCCATCTCTACTCAAAATACAAAAATTAGCTGGGTGTGGTGGTGGGAGTCTGTAATCCCAACTACTCAGGAGGCTGAGGCAGGAGGATCACTTGAACCTGCTGAACCCGGGAGGCGGAGGTTGCACTGAGCCAAGATCACACCATTGCACTCCAGCCCAGGCAATAGAGGGTGACTCCACCTCAAAAAAAAAAAAAAAAAAAGAAAAAGAAAAAAGAAAAGCTCAGTAATGACAAGGGAACTTAACAAGTTATAGTGCTAAGAATATGAAGTCTATGTCTTCTACCAGCATCCATGAAATAGTAACAGCCTAGCTTATTAATTTGCAAGTAGAATAAAATTTCAGACTCTTCACAATTTTTGATGATCCAGAGAGAAAATGGCAGGAAAAAAAGGAAGAAACGAATAAACTTTCTTTGCCTACCTTTTGGTCATTAAGTTTTAATTTTAAAAATTATCAAAACCTACTTAACCTAGAAATCATTACATAAAATCATATACTATAAAATTAGCTAGGTAGTCCATATATAGGATAAGAATAAATCTGACAACTGAATTTTTAGTTCATTCTGAAACTGACCTGAGCAAACCAAGTAAATGATAATATTCTTTGAAGTGAAAAGGTTTCTCTCTTCAACCAAATATTCAAATTTGTAACATTCAGCAAGAAAGGTCTACTCACCTATCCAACCACATCAAGCAAATTAACCTCAACAATCAATGAAATGTCATTTAACCTCCCTACCATCCCAAATATGCCTGAGTGGTATGCAACACAAATTATTTTTGATATGCTACCTCTGGCATCTGACAATTATGGTATTAAATAAAAGATAATCAGCATTCACGTGCTCAGGGAAAGGGAGAAACGCACACTCTGCTGCTCAGGAGTGTAAATTGAAATATAATTTTTTATAGCGCAATTTAGGAAAGACAAACCAAAAGCCTTTAAAATGTAAAGCTTTGACAAACAATGCAATTTCATTTCTTGTGATTTATCCTAAAGAAACAATTAAAGATGTACACAAAGATTTAGCTTTTAAGAATATTTACTACAGTGCTGTTCATAATGACAAAAGCTGGAAATAACATAAATATCCAAGAACAGGAAACCAGTTAATTAATCCACAGGATCTCTTACAGTGAAATACCATTTGGTCATTAAAAATTATACTGAAATGGAAAAATTGTTTATAATGACAGTTTGTGCAGCTACTTTTAAAAGCTATCAGCTTATACACATTGAAAGAACCACCTTTGCATGCAGACATATGCAATTTTTACTTTCTTCTTTTTGCTTGTGCTTTTCCTACAATTAATGTTTTAGTTTTCTAATTTAAAATATGCACATTTTTGAGAATGTATATTAATGACTGCTTAATTTGAGTCACTATTTATATAACTCACATCATCTCTAACCCTACAAAGACTGAGAATAACATAAAGACATATAAATAACAAACCAGTTTAAGAAATCGGAAAACAGAAAAGGGATAAGGAGGTAGCAGTTAATTCTATAGAGAACGCAAAACAAAATGGGTACTAAACATGAACATTAACTTTAGCATTAACTTCCTGCAGCTTATCATCCATAGTAAAGAGAGTCAATACACTCTCACAGTATTGGATGACAGAAAATATTAATTCTTCACAAAAATCCTGAGAATTTAGGAACAGAAACATGTTTTCATGCAAAAGAATCTGTCTTTGGGGTTTTATACTAATAACAAAATAAACTGTATCTTCTATAGGCACCTTACTAAAGATATTGTTTCACTCTCAAAAAACTGACAGGATTATAATTCAGTAACAAAAAATATTATTTTTAATAATGCAACTTTAAAAGCCTATAAGAATGGAACATTAGATCAATATTACAGTTTGTCTATAATGTACTAATATAAAGCACCTGTAAAAAGTACACAGCTCAGAGAAGGTGCTCAGTGTTGGTTTTCTTTCCCTCTCACTTAACCTAAACAGACTAATTGTGTCAACACCACACCAATTGGAGACAAATATGGCAATCCAATTACTAAGGAAACACCTCCAATGTGCCAGGCACTATGAAAACACATAATGAAATAATTTCAAAAGCTGTTTCTAACAGAAACATTTTATTTTCTCCCAAATAATATATATGAGTGTGTATGTATATGTGTATATATAGAGAGAGAGAGAGTATATTTTTACATAGCACATATTTTTAGTACATTATGAAACTCATCATAAAAACAGAACTCAAAGCTCATTAAGATCATTTGGAAATGAACAATTTCAAAAATAGTTGAGAAAACTTCAGGCAGCCTAGCCAACTCTATTATCCTAAAATTAATCAATAACATCCTAATTAGCATCTTGAAATAAGCTCCCCAGGAAAACCCATCAGTCTGCCAAAGTAAAGTTATCTTTAAAAAGGAAAAAAAAATCCTTATGAATACTTCATAAACTTTCAAATAAACCACAAAGTGTTTATCTACAAAGGTGCTAAATTAAAAGCTTCCAAATGTTGTCTATAAATCTCCGCAAATTGGTGTAAATATGTAGGGTACATCAAAATGTAAATGCAATCACAAATAAGGCTTAATATTTTAAGTAAATAAAAGTACTACTATGAGCCCTTTATACTGTCCCTTTCCAGAAATGAAGTATGATGAATTTTCATTTGGAAATCTTGCTGCTAAGTATTACCAATTTATTTGGGTTTCAAAATAACGTACCCGCTTTTTTTAAAAAAGTACCTAAACAGCTGGTGTAAAAGCAGTAAACCAATACATTCAAGAAAAGCAGGGAAAACAGACTAAAAGACAACCAATAAAAATTATGCATCTAATTAAACCACTCAAAAAATATGGTTTAGTAAAGAAAAAAAAGTACATTCAACTGCAAAATAATTTCAAAAAGCTCAAAACCAACTAAACTTTTAAACTCAGAGCAATGGTGAATGGAAACAAATGGCAGAAAATTGACTGGGAAAGGATGCTGCTGGCCTTAAGAACTTGAGGTTCTGTATACCAGAGTAAATAAAAATGGAACACTAATTTCATCCCAGATATCCAAGAGGGTTTTGTTTTTTTGTTTTTTGTGTTTTTTTTAATTAGCTCAATTTCACTGTAGCTCATTTAGGCTGATATCTAAGAATGGTTTAAAATGATACTATGAATAAAGCAAGCAGATGATTATCTCTTTTCATTTCCACTCTTTCCATTTAAAGGAAGCACAATTATTCCCTGTTCACAGGAACTCAATCTCCCTCTTAACTCTGTACCATTCATCTTAATTTTCAATGTTATTTTTAAGCTCTATGTATAATTAAACACTTCCTTCAAAACATTGCTACTGTGCAGAGGATATAAACTGCCAAAATGCCTAGACTCTTTCTTCTCATTTCATGTCAGTCAACACCCTGCACATCTTTTGAGGACTCTCCTGCTTCTTGCTCACCTGATGTTCCACTGCCACATTTGCTCTCACACAAGTATATCTTCAATAATTATTATCAGTTATTCTTAGTCAGAGGCTAAAATGATCCCCCACTGCCACATATTGAAAAATAAGAAGCTTACATTCTACTACGAGGTTCCTTCGTGAATTATCTCTCTTACCTGAGTTATGCCAGAACCTTGATATTTTTTCTTACCAGGAAAATGTATTTAGATTTTCTTTCATCAGCTTTTTATTCAGCTCCTAAGGGTTCTGTCTTTCCTCTCCTTAGCTAACCACTATATTTTATATACATATGTATATACATGTATCACCCACTATCACACATACATGTATAATTTTATAATAAAGTACCAGAGTTTCTTGGGGATAATTTTAACAAGTATTTACTAAAGATGAAATCAAGGATAATCTATTTGTTATCTGATAATTTAAATATATACACAGCTACTTCAAAAGATTATTTTATAGTCAGCTTTTTTTTTTTTTTTTTTTTTTTGAGACAAGAGTCTCACTCTATCGCCCAGGCTGGACACCTCAGCCTCCCCAGGAGCAGGGATTAAAGGCATGCACCACTACACTCGGCTAATTTTTTTTTTTTTTTTTTTGTATTTTTAGCAGAAGTAGGGTTTTGCCATGTTGCCCAGGCTGGTCTTGAACTCCTGGCCTCCTTGGCCTCCCAAAGTGCTGGGATTACAGCATGAGCCACCACACCCGGCCTACAGTCAGCTTTTTTAAAAAGTGAAAGAAACTCAGGAGAAACATAATGATAAACACCTTGAGCACAAAGTTTTGTTCATAAAAAATTTTGTTCAGCTTTTTATTATATAAATGCACAGAGGGGCTTTCTCAAGAAGCATGAGCACAATATATGTCCTTGATTGTTTTAAAAGCATATAAAAGTGGTCAATAAAAGAAAGCAAAATACACACACACAAACATACTCAACAGATTTAACCAAATTTAAAAAGATGAAAAGACAAAAAACCAATTTGCTTAAAATGTTTGGTCTAATTTTTAAGAGTTCTTTTCTGCTTTAACAGAAAAAAATTGCCAACATAATAAATTGGTTTACCATCTATTAGTGAGAGCAATATTAGAATGAAAAAATTAATAAAACTTATTAGAATAAAAAAGGTGATTGAGTAATTTTATAATATATACTATCAAAGTAAGAACATAAGAAAAATAACAATAAACAACACATTTCAAAATTATTAATATTTACCAAATGATAACTGTACTTAAAACTGAACATTTAAAGACAAAATTATGCAACTACATCACACTTAAAGTTAGTAATCATAAAATCTGTAAAACAGTCCTCATGGTTTCTACAATTAGTTTAAAAAGATATTTTTAGCCACATATGTTAACATACATCCACTGTCGTTATTAACTTAATCTTTAATACAGCATATATAATACACCCTTCCAGGATACTTATTGTAACTCAGGTAAGAAAATTTCTCTAGTACCCAACAGACATATAACCAGCAGGTTTGACAACTCATTGTCATGACAATTCCCTGAAGGATGAAGATTACTTAATTTTACACTAATTCCTCACGATTTTTCACCTAAGTCCTGTTCCTTCCCAGTCTTCCCTATAAAAGCAAATAGCATTACCATTCTCCCAATTATTCATCACTCTCTTTTCCTCACACTCTACATCAATTCATCAGCAGGACCTACTTCTAAAACAGAACCCAAGTCAGTACACTTCTTACCTGTTGGGTTATATTACTTAAAAACCTATGTTTCTTTAAAAAGAAAAAGAAAAAAAAGTTACAGATGCTGACAAAGGCAGCATTCATACACATGAAAAAACTGGTTGAAAATCTGTACAGAAAACCAGCAATGATGGTTGCTTAGAAGCCTACTGGATGCAATCATAGGAGATAATTTGGAGCCGGAGAGAGATGGATAAAAGAAGCTATGAAATGGCAGAGTCGATTGAGAAGCAATCATGCTCCAATCTCAGTAACCTTTACCATTTGTGTGACTGAGTCCTCCAATTTCTCTATGAGGAAAAGAACAACTTGGGAGAAAAAAAAATTTTGGCAAAGATTTATTTTTATTTTAGTAGCATCTTCAAATAGGTAGGTGCCAAGATAAAGGAAATATAAATTTAAAATCTAAAGCAGAGATATATGAATAGTAATTAAGTCACTACATACTGTACAGAGATCCTTATATTGCAGCTTTTGGAATTTTGTGTCTGTGTTTCCTGCACATAGTTCCACATAACCAAGAACAACTTGAAACACGGTGTTGTGAATGGCTTGGGTGAAGTGCATATGAAGTTGATCCATTGCTGTCTGTGGAAAGAAAAAATGCACAACATAATTTCACATTATTAAAATAAATAAATTTCAACAGATTGAAAAAACCCAGGGAAACATGTTTTCAAATAATAGTTAGAACACAAAGATAATATTTTCCCCAGAATTATAACTGTAGGGTATATTATTTGCAAATAACCCTGCACATAACCAGATTATCAGAGCACTCAAAATAAATGTGACTCGTGAACACTGCTCTGTTGTTCTTTATTTATAACTGGTACTCATCTTGCTCTTTCTTAAATATGTTGTACATAACCATATCTCTAATTACCCTCTGCATCATTCTGCATGCATTCATTCTTTTATATCATTCAGTGCATTTCTCAATGGTAATCTTCTCAGGGAACCTCCCATGACCAGCCAATATGAATCAGTACTTTCTATCTCTGCATCCACATACCCTGATTTATATTTCTTTGTAGCATCTGTTACTACCTGATATCATATTCATTTACAGGCATAAATCACAAAGGAAATTTTTTGGTTTCCCAGTGCATATAAAAGTTACGTTTACACTGTACTATAATCTATTTAAAGTGTGTAATAGCATTATGTCTTAAAAAAACAACATATAAACCTTAATTTTTAAAAAATTGCTAAAAATGCTAATAATCATCTGGACCTTCAGCGAGTCAATCTTTTTTCTGGTCGAGGGTCTTGCCTCAATGTTGATGGCTGCTGACTGATCAGGGTGCTGGCTGCTAAAGGCTGAAGTGGCTATGGCAATTTCTGAAAAGACAACAGTGAAGTTTGCTGCATTAGTTGACTCTTCTTTTCACAAAAGATTTCTCTGTAGCATGCGATGCTGTTTGATGGCATTTTATCCACAGTAGAACTTCTTTCAAAACTAGAGTCAATGCTCTCAGACCCTGCTGCTGCATTACCAACTAAGTTTATGTAATATCCCAAATTATTTCTTGTTATTTCAACAACGTTCATGGCATCTTCACTGGTAGATTCCATCTCAAGAAACCACTGTCTTTGAAGCAACTCTTACATCCATTCAATTTTATCATAAGATTGTAGCAATTCAGTCACATCTTCAGGCTCCACTTCTAATTCTACTTCTGTTGCTGTTTCTACCACATCTGCAGTGATTTCTTCCACTGAAGTTTTGAACTCCTCAAAGTCATCATGAAGGTTGGAATCAACTTCTTCCAAACTCCTGCTAATGTTGCTATTTTGACCCTCTCATGAATCACGAATGTTCTTAATGGCATCTAGAATGGTGAATCCTTTATGGGAGCTTTTCAACTGACTTTCCTGAGATCCAGCAGAGGAATCACAAATGTTCTTAATGGCATATGGTAAATCCAGAAGGTATTCAATTTACTCTCCCAAGATCCATCAGAATAATAACTATCTATGGTACCTATAGCCTTATAAAATGTATTTAAGTAGTAAGACTTGAAAGTCAAAATTACTCCTCGATCCGTGTGATGCAGAATGACTGTTATATTATCAGGCATGAAAACAACACTCATCTTCTTGTACATCTCCATCCAAGTCATAGGGGACTAGGTACATTGTCAATGGACAGTAATATTTTGAAAGAGAAATTTTTTTCTGAGCAGGAGGTCTCAACGGTGGGCTTAACACATTCAGTAAGCCATGCTGTAATCGATGTACTATCTTCCAGGCTTCGTTACTCCACTTATAGAGCACAGGCAGAGTAGATTTAGCATAATTCTTAAGTGCCCTAGGATTTTCAGAATCATAAATGAGCATTGGCTTCAACTTAAAGCCTCCACATGCCTTAGTCCCTAAAAAGAGAGTCAACCTGTCCTTTGATGCTTTGAAGCCAGGCATTGACTTATTCTCTGTACCTCTGAAAATCCTAGGTGGCATCTTCTTCCAATAGAAGGCCATTTCGTGTACACTGAAAATCTGTCCTTTAGCACAGCCATCTTCACTAAGCTTAATCCTTTCTAGCTTTTTATTTAAAGTGAGAGACATGAAGCCACTGTAGGTTTATTAATTGGCCTAATTTCAATACTGTTGTGTCTCAGAGAATAGAAGGGTCAAAAAAGAGGGAGAGAGAAGGGGGAATGGCCAGTTGGTGCAGCGGTCAGAACACACACATTTGTGAATTAAGTTCACCATTTTATATAGGTACAGTCCATGGACCACAGAACAATTACAATACTAATATGAAGCTCCCTAAACATAAATCACTGTCCCAGATATAATAATGATGAAAAAGTTGGAAATACTGCAAGAATCATGAAAATCTGACACACAGACATGAAGTAAGCACACTCATGCTGTTGGAAAAATGGCACTGACAGACTTGCTTGACGCAGGTTGGTCACAAACCTTTAATTTGTAAATAACACAGTATCTGAAAAGTACAATAAAGTGAAATGTAATAAAAAGAGGTATGCCAGTATCCCTCACTAAAAGGTAAGATACATAAAAGCCTACATCCAGACACTTGAAACAATGCGCGTAGGAGGTACCAAAAATATTAATGGAATTTAAGACTTAATCTTATGGGGGAAATGAGAAATTATAATCCTATTTTCAAAGGTGTTTAAACATATCCCTCAAAATTGCTAAGTTCTTTCTTCTTAGATTTTTTCTTGGGTATAGCTTAAGACATGAAAACTAAATTACAATAAACAGTAAAATTTCTTTATTCATATTTCAAAATGTAGAGTTTAAATTGTTTAGTAAATTTTTAAACTTCCTTCTAAAAGAGGGGAGCATTTAAGGGAAGAAAACATTTACATCTATCACATTAAATGTTGTCTAGGTAAACATATAATCCTATACAAACAAAAGATACAATTAACTTGCAAAACCATGGCACCTGTTTCAAGTCTTTCAAGGAAGCCCTTGAATGATAAGGGTATGAAAAGCTATACATTATGAGAGAAATTATGACATTTTGGGGATAAAAGGGCCCTCTGAAATATCTGATAAATAAAATGGACCTGTTTTACAGATAAATGTACAAAATGTACAATGCTGACATATCATTTTGAGGGAGTCATGCTGGCCTATCTAACAACACATGAAGCTGCAAATTAGGAAGTCCTGTTTCAGACCAAGAGCTGAGTTAAAAGAGACTACATATTGTCTCCCACTGAATTATCTTATAATATACTTTTTGGAAAATCTACATAAAATTGTGAAAATATTAAAACTGACAAGTATTTCATAGTTCAAAACAAACTCCTGTAATGTTTTAATCACAGTATATACCCTCTGAGTCTATGACAATAAGCATTTTATCACTGTTAATTCAGAATAAAAATGTACTTTGTTAAATAAAACTTTTTAAGGACATGAGATTTATAATATTCAGACTTAATCATGAAGGGCAACAAATTCCTCATTAAGGAAAAATCGAAACATGCTTTTGAAACAAACCTGTGTTTTTCCAAGAAGTCGATAAGCTTGTTGAACCTTGGTATAATGGTTAATGTCAAAATTCTTGCAGATTTTGGAAAGAGCTACGTCCAGCTGTTCCTATGTAATTAAAAGAAGCAAGAAATGGTTAAGCAATTATGTTTTCAAGGCAATGAGAGGAAAATATTAAGACTAATCTCTCACTTTTAGTTAACATTTACTATCATACCAGATTTAGAAGTCAAAAACAAAATTAAATAAAGTTATAAATTGCAATTGTAAATTTATTAGCAACTATAATCAAGTTTACCAAGATATTATGAATTTCTATGTCTTAAAACCCATGCCTAGTGTTTTACAGGAAACAAAATAATAGTTTTGTAATGAATCTTACTCTTACTACTACTTAACATTTCCTCAAGCATCTGCTAAAATCTTATATAAACTGAATTTGTAGTATTACTGGAATTACTGGAAAACAATAAAACAATCTTTCTCTAATCAATGAAGAGGAATTCTCAACAAAACTACATTGAAATTAAAAGTATATTCCTCAAGATTTAAGCTCTTATATCTGAATTACTATGCTTTATGGATTTCCATTTCAATGATTTTACTTTGAAATAAGAGCTTTTAATATAAGTACAGAATAATATCTATTAAGAGTGAAGAAATACTGAGCTATCAAAAGAAAGGCTTCATTAAAATATTCAGAGAATTGTTAACTTAAGCCACTCAAAGCAGTTGTTTTTGTGACTATCAAATAAGCTGTTATTCTCATAATTATTTAATAGCAAATAATTGCATTTATGGTCAAAAATTACTTTCTCAAAAGGTAATTTGAAAGTCCAGTCTCAACTTTTATAAATACTCTTATCAGGAAAACAATAAAAGACTAGAAGAAAACAAATAATTCTTATTTATTAAAATGAATACCCTCCTTTGCAAAGATTGTCAAGGAAAGAGATGAATTTTGAATACATGTAACAGGCAAAACATGCTTCATGCCCACAATTACATATCTCTTCCTTTCTAGTTTCTACATTTTTGATGAACTATATGAGTATCATTATGAGGTTTAAGAATTTTGGAGGGTTTTCATCAGCCAATAATTACTTATAAGTAAATTAACTCACTAGCACTATACTAAACAATAAAGTAACTGATAATTAAAATATAATTAATACATAGAATGTATTATGGCTATTATATAATTTTATGAGAACATACCTATGACTAACAGTTTGGAAATTTTTCTTGGAAATGGTAATATTTTCAAATACTGTTTTGACATCCCATAATTTACAAGTAAATTTTTACACAAACTTGACCATAAATAGATATCCCAAATGAAAATCAAGAAATAGTGATTTAGAGACATTGGTAATAATATAAAAGCCAAAACAAAATGTTGCACCTATGTTATTCAAAAACTTCTGAAAAGAAAAAGTCATTGAGGTTACAATATAATCCTTCTTACCTCAATCTGTTCCAAAGTATCTTGCAGCTTTGAATTCAGTTCACTATTTAAAATAAAACACACACAGTTTTTTTTCTATTTCTAAAAGAGACAAACTAAGTGCTAAATAAATACATACTAACTGAATAATTAATCAGTAAATTCAAAGATTAAGGGTATAGACAGTAAGGCATGCTGCTGAATTCTACATATAGACAGTGCAATAAGAAAAAGTACTAGAAGGGAATAAATAAGAGTCATTACCAGCAGCAACAGGATTGTGTGAGTAGAAAGAAAGAATCTACAGATAAAACTAAAAAAACTGAAGAATTAAAATAGATAACTTTTACATAAACAATGTTTGTATATTTAACAGTCAACTGAATATCCTCTTTCTCAGTGATCTGAAGACCTTTACCGTTTATTTTTATTCTGTCTGTCTCAAGTGTATTGGTCATTCAGGAAATGCAAATTAATACTATAAAAACACTGTAACAAATGAAAATAATGGCTAAAAATATTTTTTTTTAATTAAAAATGACACCACCAAATGTTGGCAAGGATGTTGAACAAACAGAACCACTCATTTGATGCCAGAGGAAGGGGAAACTGATATAACCTCTTGGAAAACCCTAATATCTACTGAAACAACACACACTATATCTCCCAGCAGGTCTAGTCCTGGATACATACCGAACAGAAAAGCACACAGAATCCTTGCAGCATTATTTTTAATAGGCAAAAACCTGAGGCAACACAATTGTCTAGAATAATTAGATAAGTAAAATATGATATATTCATACAATAAAATCTTATAGCAATTAAAATTTATGTGAACCCCAAAAACACGTTTGGCAAAAGAAGTCAGTAAAAATAGTATATACTGTATGCTTCCATTTATTTAAAGTTTAAACAAGCAAAACTAATTTTGGTGACAGCAGCCAGAACAGTGCTTACCTTAGAAGAATGACTGGGATGAGACATGAGAGAAGTTTGTGGGGTGTCAGAAATACTCTGTTTCTACTTCTGGGTGCTAATTACATAACTATGTTTACTTTATGAAAGTTTACTGAGTTATACTCATACACTTAGGACATGTTATTGAATCTAGATTTTTTTCCCCCTTTAATTCTTACAAGGTCAGTAAAAAAATCAATAGAACTAACATTATTTGAATTACATCTCACTACTAAAAATGATGTGATATCTAACAAAATAAATGCAATCACAGAGAACATATTTTAACAAGAAAGAATAAAACCTAATTGTTCTTAAAATAGTACAAGTGAAAGACATTTAGCACACCAAAATCAAAGGTTTTTAAAATTGCTATCTACTGATAATAAACTTGACTCTCAAATTCCTAGCAGCCAAAGCAAATAGAGAGGGCCACAGTACATAATTCAGAGTCTAAAACAGTAGAACATACCAGTAGCTCAAGGGGGAAAAATAAATGAAAACAAAAATATAAAAAATCACTTTTGTTGGCATTAAGTTCTGAGAGAAAATTTTGCCAGCGTCTTGATCTCCAAAGGCACAACACCCTTGACAATATCCTTACAATACATACAATAATGGGTTCTTTGCATTTGCTTCTTATAGAGCCTTTCAATGCAAGCTAAAGAGATAATACCAGAGTGAGATATAGATAGATATAGATAGCAATCTGTCAGAAAAGTAAAACCAATGTAATACAAGTACACAGTTTTGGATGCTCTCAATGATAAATGTCCAAACATCTAGAGAAATTAGATCATTTTCTGCAAATAGTATTTATCATAAGCATACTTTGAATTGAAGTTGAGGACTGGAGAGTATATTTTCCGGCAAAAACTGGAAGTGAGCAAAACAATATCCTTTGACAATTAACAGTGTAGGACTGATAACCTTATTAGAAAAAGTAAGATCTCTAACCAGGATTTGTGCCTGAAATACAGCCAAATCCTCAGACACAGATTAAGGGAATACTTGTAGGTAGGACTGAAATTTTGTTAAAAAACTGATTCTAGGACAATTCCTGCCAAAAAAAAAAAAATGAATGGATAAATGAGTGAATGAAGAATGAAAACTACTGCCCCCAAAATAATTCCCCCAAAAGAATAGCTATGATAGTGCCTTAACACTTTCAAAGAATTAAATAAATCTTCATCCAACCCCAAGAAAAGCAAAACAAAACAAATCAGTATCTTCTCTCCCTCAGAGCTGTTCTGTCTCCCATGTTCTCTGTCTCGATTCACAGCATCACCACCTACTCAAACAAAGCTGAAAATCTCAGTCATCTTGCATTCTTCCCTCTCTATATGTAATTGGTAATCAAATCCTGATGATTCTACCATTTCATTTCAGATTTCCCATATCCACCTGTGCTTATCTTTTCTCAATTCTATGTTCTAATTCAAGCATTATTACCTTTTGCTTAGGGAATATAAATCATTTTGTTATAAAGATACATGCACGTGTATGTTCACTGCAGCACTATTCACGATAACAAAGACACGTGAACAGCAAAGACATGTGAATAGCAAAGAAATGGAGTCAATCCAAATGCCCATCAATGATAGACTAGATAAAGAAAATGTGGCACATATACACCATGGGATACTATGCAGTCATAAAAAGGAATCAGATCATGTCCTTTCCAGGGACATAGATGAAGCTGGAAGTCATTATCCCCAGCAAACTAACACAGGAATAGAAAACCAAACACCACATTTTCTAACTTATAAGTGGGAGCTGAACAATGAGAACACATGGACACAGGGAGGGGAACAACACACAGTGGGACCTCAGGGGACAGGTGGGGAGAAGAGCATCAGGAAAAATAACTAATGCATGCCAGATTTAATACCTAGGTGATGGGTTGATAGGTGCAGCAAACCACCATGGCACACATTTGCCTATGTAACAGACCTGCACATCCTGCACACGTACCCGGAACTTAAAATAATGAAAAAAAAAAAAAGTAGCCTCCTAACAAATCTGCACATGCAGCACACATACTTTAATCAACCCATCCATTTATTTGACAAACACCATCAACCAAACATTGTACAACATCCTTCAAAAAGCTGTCAGAAATAGTTCTGAGCAGGAGTCTAACTTCACATTGGATTTGGTCAATATTCTACATGATTTGGCAGACACAGTGTTGTCAAATGGCTTGTATGTGAACGGCTGTAGGCAAGGCAAGTGCTCTCTAGTCCCATGGGCTCTACCATTTCCTGTGGTCTTACATCTGGCAGCCTCACATTTATGTTATCTGCCTGGTCCCTAAAGACATCTGAGTGCAGTTCTTAAGTAAAGCAAGAATAAAACCACATTAATCTCCTGCTTTCAATCTTTTGGTGGCTCCCTATTAAACTAAGGAGAAAAGCCCCAAATTAGTACGGCATATAAGACTTTTAACAATCTGACATGAAAAAAATAACTTCACATTGACTTCTCATTGCCTATATTTTAGACATATGTACTGTGCACAGCACCTGAACCAAACTCCAGACTTTCACACCCTCAGTTCTTGTACATAGTGGTCACAATAACTTGAATATCCCTTCTTCCTTTCTCACTCACAAGCATCCATCTATCTTTCCAGGCTTAATTCAAATGCCATGTTATCTGGGAAGTCTTTCCCTGCTAAGTAACTACCCCCACAATCTTCATAATACTCTGTTTACAGCATCCTGTATTACAGTAAGGAATACCTGTGGCTGTGTTTCCAAGGCACAAGCATTTAAGGCACTGTGGCTTATTCACTAGTGACTTCCCAGAACTAAATTTACTACCTAACTAAGATAGGTAACAAATATTCTAAGTCAAATTTGTAATTCAAAGAAAAATGGCAAAATTTTGCCATCATTCCATTAGCCCCTATTCTCTACCTTAATAAATAAAATTACAGAGATAGAAGGAAAGGGAAAAGAATGTTTTAGAAGAAAAAGAACCACACTGAACTCTGGGTCTGCAGGTGCCTTAGCAAGAGAAGAGAGATGAGTAAGAGTTAAAGACAGTTCCACTATCATATGAAGTTCAAAATTTCACCCAAGGCTGATCCTAGAGTAACAGAAACAGAGAGCCAAGGACAAGTGGAATAATGAGTAATTCAGAACTGGTAAACATATTCCTTTAGGGAATATTTTGAGTTTGGAGGAAAAACAAATATATCTGAATTCATTCACAGGTGACAGCAATGATTTCTTCAACTTCTCTATCAAAACAAATGGGCTTTAGTGTTAGTTTATAAAATTATAATAAACCTAGATGTTTTTATGGCTGTTATTAAAGGTAAATGATTCTACATCCTATTTATTAAGATTTAATGCAAATGTGGTAAGGTAAACAGCATGCGGAAGATTATAAACATAAAAATCTATAAATCAAAAATTTGGTTTCAATAAAAATGCTTTCAAAATGTACAACTGCAATTTGACAACAATTTGCTACTAATTAAAAATACATATATAAAAGTTATGTGATTAAATAGTGGACATTAACTGTACAGCTTTTAAAGAAGCTCTTACCCATCATTTAGAAACATGAATTCAATCCATTTTGATCAATTAATCAAAGTATGTTAAAAGGATCTATTCATAAGCATTTTGATAAATAAATGCAACATTATGGTCAAAAAATTACCAGTTCTAAGATGGAAGGCTAAAAGCCTTTAAAAGCTATCTGCAAGCTGAATGGAATGAATCAAACAATTCTACAAAGCATTTTTACCATCACTACAGGAAATATTAAGAATAATTTATCCATAAAGAACTAATTAATAGTGTTCTTTAAACAACTGATCTAGGACACACATACACTCACAAGCATGAGTCCTAGAAAGGCTGCATATAAATCAAGATTTTGAACAAATCTGACTATACAAAAAGACAGGATGGCACAGCGATAATATCTTAATGATCTTTCCCTGGTCTGTTATTAATGAACCATATGATTTAAGTCAAGTCCTTTAATATCTCTGGGCATTAGTTTCCTATATAAAAGTGGGCTAGATAGCAAGGGTTGCTTCCAGCTCTAATGTTTCATGATTCTATTATATGCTGAAGACAAGTTACT